CCGTCCACCGCCGCCCCTGCTGGCGACCACGGGCGCTGCACTTCCGAGGCCCAGGCGGGAGAAACTTCAGGTGCGCCGCAGGAAAAGCGAAAATATTTAAAGTCACCCCGCAGGTCCCGCAGGTAAACGCGGGCAGCGCGGTGCTCGCACAGAGCCGTCGCGCGGGGCCGTGCCTGCAGTGCGCGCCTGCTGGCCGGGAGCGGCCCCGCGCCTCCGTTTTCGGTGGCGCGCAGGCTGTGGGGGGACGCGTCTGGGAGGCAGTGACCCCCGCAGGCCACCGTGCAGCCTGCACCTGCAGGTCGGGCAGCGGGAACCCCAGGCCCTTGTCGCCCACAGGCCGGGCCGCTCCTGTCTCGCGCCCACCTGCAGACAGTGGCCCCGAGCTCTCGGGAGGCCAGCGCGGGGAGCCGCGCACCCTCGCAGTCTCGGGGCACCTTTGCCGGCTGCACTGCCGCTTCCTTCCCGCCGCCCTTGCCCTCTCGCCCGCTCCCCGCCTGTGCGGATCTCCAGCCCTCGCCCAGTCCCTCATTTGTGAAACGTGGCGGGACCAAGGTTTGACCTTTGGGACCTGTCACCTTCAGGGCTCCCGGGGAACACATCGTCAGACCCAGGCTGCGCGGGGCCTCCGCACGCCCGCTGGCCGTGGTGGTGACGTCGCGAATGTGGACAAAGTGTGATGGCGGGAGCTGGAGAGAGCGCCTGCCTCTGGTGCCCGCTCCAGCCAACACCTTTCTTCTGGATTTCAAATGCTCCAAGCTGAAAGCTTCAGAGTCAAGCAGAGATCGCTCCTCGGCCTTTCGACTAAGATCAAGTGCAGAGTCAAGCAGAGCCAAGTACTGCTTCAGTAAACAGAGGGGAGGCTGAGGAGGAGGGTCTAGACAGGGTCTGCCCCAAGGAGCCAGGGGAGGGGCCGCTGGAGCCAGCAGCAGAGCTCCCTGAGAAGACCCCGGCCCAGCTGTCCGGTGTCATCACCCTGTGCCCGCGACTGGTGTCCCGGCTGCTTCTTGCTGCCTGGAAGACGTTCGTGTCTCCGGGGGGCTTGGCGTCCCTGAGGGACTTGGGGAGGTGCTCAGGTCGATGGAGCCTCCTGTGGGTGGGACATTTCCATGCCGCCTTCTGTGTGGCATATCTGTGGACGCAGATGCTGTGTGGAAAACCGAGGGTTCCGGAAGCCCCTGGGCCCAAGGAAGCTGGGCCCCGTCTCTGTGGGTGCCGGTTGCTGGGCCACGGGGTGCAGAGCAGGGCGCTGCAGCTCTGACTGGAGTTCCCCACCCGCAGTGCCGGTTGTTCCCAGCCGTCTAGAGTGCCACGCTGCCCCCCTCACACCGGAGACCGGCTCTGAAAAGCCATGAGCTTTATAAAGGCGCTGGCTTTGCCTGCAGGAGTTACGGCCCCCTCACACACAGAGACGGATGCGGCATTTGTATGGCTCAACTATTTCAACCCGGAATTTTGCTTCTGGAAAACTCTGGGCCCCAGCTGGTGCTCTTCCTGCCTGGCAAGGACAAATCTGCTGCCCGCCTTGTGCCCTCTGGTGGCAGCTCCTGGAGCATTCCGTGAGCACGGCCCTCGGGTTCTTGTAACCCTTGAAAACAGCACGCCAGCCCATCTGTGCAGTCCCGTGTGGCTGAACTGAGGCTGAAAGGCAGCTTGCCAGAGTGATGTGGCCCACCTTGAGCTGAGCTGAAATCCTGAAGAGGGAGGAGAAGTCAGTGGTCCAGGCTTCCTGTCGTAGTTTGGGGCTTACTGCAGGGATGTGGCCCACCTTGAGCTGAGCTGAAATCCTGAAGAGGAAGGAGAAGTCAGTGGTCCAGGCTTCCTGTCGTAGTTTGGGGCTTACTGCAAGGGGAACAATATAACACAGGACACATATTTTATAAGATTATTTATAATAGTCACCCAAAGAATCATATACAAGAGAGTGGAGGAAATCTGTCCACACACTAAAGACCAAAGAATCTTGACCAGCTGTGGGCCTGGATCCCATCATGTCCTGCATGAGTCCAGCTGAAGACCTAGAGCCCATAACAGTGCCTCCCACGAGTCCAACTGGAGACCTAGAGCCCATGTCTCATGCAGGCCTGTTTCACAGACCTGCACTGCCAAGGCTCAAAGGTCAGTGATGGAATCTAGGAAGTCTGTGCCAGTGGGATGAAAGATCTGTGCTAGCAGGCTGAGGGATCTGCGCTGGAGCCAGGAAGTGATGCTTAAAATAAGAACCAGAGCCCCCCTGAAAAGTACCACAGCCATCTTCAGCAACAGTGAGGTCTTGAGCTCCTCTGATGATCAGGACAGCCGAGTTCCCACCAGGAAATCCAGTGCAACAAGCTTCTCCAGGAGACTGAGCAGCGCACTATCTTCCCCTCCGGAGCCAGGAAGCAATGCTCAGAGTGAGGACCAGAGCTCCTCCAAAGTGAACGGAAGCCATTCTCAGTGCCAACAAGGTCCCAAGCTCCTTGGAAGATGAGAACAGCCGAGTTCATCAGGAAAGTCAGTATGACCAGCTCCTCTAAGAGAACCAACAGCTCCTTACAGCTTCCACCAGCTCCCAACAGCCTCTCTCAGCTCCCAACAGCCTGCTTCTTCTTCTCCAGGTCTGCCTCTTATGCTGCTGGCAACAGTCCTCAGATGGGCCTCCCACACCCAGCACCGTGTTACTCAGTTCAGCTGGGGGTTTTACAAGTTGCCCAGAAGTTGTCAGCCCGCCACACTTCCCTTCTTACGAGTGCCTGGCACCCACATATGAAGCTGTGCAGTTACTACACATTCACTCAGTGCACGTGCTGATGTTCTGTTCATTTCTAAAAATCCATGTGTGGTCTCCAAATGTAAGTTCACATGCACACACATTCCAGTGCACATGCATACACGCATACACACACACACGTGTGTGTGCACGGGATGCTGCTCTGCTGCCAAAGCTTCCTTGGGCAGAGGTGCGTTGGGAGCAGAGGGCCTCTTCTGTCAGGTGGAACAGCTTCGGCTGTGCTGACTCTGTGAGGCTGAAGCAGGACACCCCTCAGCCTGTATGCAGTCACAGCTCTCCATAAACGGTGTCAGAAGCAGGGTAGCATGGGACCCAAAGCCACACATAACATCTGCTGTGGACACCACTGCAGCCAGGGACGCTGATTATCGGGTGGGACCAGAAGCAGCCCTGGCTGTGGAGCCCGGGGGGCCCTTAGCGCTCCTTTCCTGTGACTGGGCCTGCGACCTGGGCCCCATGCTCACGCACACACTCCTGCCTGAGGAGAGCGCTGCGCTTTTGCTCCAAGCCCTTCTGCACCTGTGGTGGGGACAGCAAGAAGGAACCACCCTGCAAATCAGACGGCCCAGGCAGTGGGCCCTGGGTGGCTCTGGAAAAAGCCAGGGGATGGTTCAGGTTTGTGGACCTAGAGGTTTTTGTCCCGAACCCTTCCTTGGTTTTTTCTCGGCAGGTCTAAACGTGCAGACTCAGGGTTCACTCCCCGTGCGGTGTGGCTGCCTGTTGCCCACCTCTGTCCTCACACCGCTGGCAGACAGCCTCCCAGGCCACTGGGGGGAAGGTCGAGGCTCTGCTGGTGACTCAGGGTTTGGGAGTTGTGGCTGCACCCCATGTGTCCATGGTTACAGCGGCCTTCTGGCCTTTGCTGGCTGTGGTTTGTACCGTGCCCTCAGGCGAGGCGGCCACAGAGCAGCGCTTTGGCACTGTGTGTGCAGTGTGTGTGAGAGGTCAGGGCTCTGCTGAGAAACAGCGCCAGCTCCCGGCCAGGCTGGGGCAGAGTGTGCGGGAGGCGGGCTCCTGCAGGGTGACGGTGCCTGAGCCACCCCATGCCGGGCCCCATGTTCTGGGGACACCACTGCGGCTCAGCCAGGCGGCACACCTCACGGAGGCATCTGCTCTACTCCAAGACCACCAGGTCACTACAGTATCACCTTCCTGCCAACATCTGGACTGGGCTGGCTGTGAGCATCTGGGTGCTGTGTGTCCGGCCAGTGACACACACACGGTTCTGTGCACTGTGTGAGTGTGCGTGTGCATGTGGGTGCTCAGAATTTTTTTTTCTTTTTTTTTTTTTGTCTTTTGTCTTTTCTTCTGGTACCAGGAATCAAACTCACAACCATGCGCTTGCCAGGCAGGCGCCTTGCTGCTGAGCTAATCCCCAGCCCCCCCATTTTTTTCTTTTCTTCTTCTTCTTTTTTGAGACAGGGTCTCACTATGCAGCTCAGGCCCACCTGGAGCTCACAGTGATCCCCCTGCCTCAGCCTCCCGAGTGCTGGGATTACAGGCGTGCGCCACTACATCCAGCTCATGCTCGGACTTACAGCACTTGCCCCAGTGTAAGTGCTGCTGCAAGAAACCAGCCTGCCCTCGCTCAGCCTGAGCTGGTTTCAACTGGCATAGAGCAGTGACCTATGTGCCGTCTCCACCCCTTCTGAGATGTGCCCCGCCTCAGGCGCTCCCAGTTCCGTGTGAGAGCCTCCCAGCTTCCGGGAGGGCGGCCTCGAGGTGCACAGAGTACACTGTTGCCCTGGAGACAACTTTAAACACAGCTGGAGCCAAGCCGGCACTCCCGGACTGCTCCCCAAATCGCAGGGGATTATTGGTAATCACGTTATGGATTTTTATGTTTTACGGATTTTTATGTTCCAAAGCTGCTTCCCGCAGCGGGACAAAGGGCAGGCTGGGGCTGCGGCGTCGGCGGACACAGCCAGACCCTCACCTACAGGACGTGCAGGGCTGAGTCCCCCGGCGGGCCCGGGCTGCTACCCTGGCACGGGGCCGGGCAGGGGAGAACAGAGATGTGAGCTCATGCAGCCGCAGTCACAGCTGGAGAAAACAGGCTGTGGAGAGGAACAGAGAGAGCGAGTGCGGGAGGGAGGGAAAGAGCGAGGGACAGAGAGAGAGAGAGACAGAGGCAGAGGGGCGTCCTCACCGCCGGCGTCCTCTGCTGGCTCTGCCCTAACCTGCTTGCGGCTCTCAAAGCACGGAGCATCCGGGCTGCCAGGAGCCAGAACAAAACCCCGCCGGTCACCGCGCAGCGACCGCAGCCGCACGCCCACGCCGGCCCGTCCCTCCTGGCCCCGACCCGCTCCCTCCTGGTCCCCTCCAGTCCCGGGTGCTTTCCCCCAGGGTGAGGGTTAAGAAGAGCCCTCCCCGCGCTGGGGATGTAGCTCAGTGGCACAAGCGCCTGCCTGGCAAGGGCAAGGTCCTGAGTTCCATTCCCTCCTCGTACAGCTGAGATCCCCTCACAGGCTGGCCCCTCAAGGCCCCGCCCCTCAAGGCCCCGCCCCTCACCAGCGGGCCCCGCCCCCAACCTCCTACCACCATCTCCCTGGGCCCCAAGGTGAAGGGGTCTCATGCTTTGGAGAAACAGTCAGACACGGGCAGGACGCTACAGCTGTTCTTCAGTTTTGGTAGCGTGTCCTACTTCTGTTATGCAGAGCTTTTGTTGTCCAGACAGGGTCTTGCTGTGTAGTTCAGGCTGGCCTCAAATTCACTGTGTAGCCCAGGCTGGCCTCAGACACAGTGATCCTCTGGCCTCAGACACAGCAATCCTCCTGCCTCAGCTTCCCAAGTGCTGGGACTACAGATGTGCACCACCACATCCAGCCCTATGATGCTGACTGAGATTGGGTGACACTAGTGTCTGCCTGCTGTCCCAGCGTCCTCAACAGTCCTTCCCCCACTCTGATGGTCAGTGTCTGCAGTCCCTTGGTGGTGACGGAATCGCGGGTGGGGCAGGGGTGGGGCTCAGGGACCCCTCTGTCTGCCCACTCTGTCACCTCTTGGAAGCTGCATCGTGGTGACAGGGTGACAGGATGCGCCCTGGCCTGTGCTTGCCATCCGACTCCAGCCTGGCACGTGCTGTGAGCTCGGCTGTACCCCTGGGGAGGAGGCCTTGCTGCCCGCTGTGGGGGCCGCCCTGGGCGGTCCCAAGGGCTGGGCTCTGGCTTCCTCCTCTGGGCCGCGTGACGGGGAGTGGAGCTCAGCCCTGCCCTGCCCTGCCCTGCCCTCTGCGCCTGGCCTGTGTGTGCACCTGAGCCGGCTGGTGGCGAGGCTATGCTCTAGCTGGGCCCAGGGCTCCCTGCTCTGCTGCAGGCTGCTCGTCCCCAGCTCCCAGGTCTGGGTGAGGCAGTGAGCCACGGCTGGAGGGTGTGGTGGACGGTCTGTCCTGAGCCAGGACAAGGGGACAAGGTGACACCACCCGGAGTGCCTGGTACCACCTCCTGCAAAGTTCCCTGCACCCCAGGATGGCACGGGGCTCATCATTTGTGATGCGGAGTCCCCTTCCGGGATCCATGACAGTGCTGGCTGCCAGAGGAGGAGCCCAGCGGTCTTGGGGCTCCCTGTTACCGGGACCCAGTGTTTGTGGCTGTGTTCTGCGTGCTGGGCGTGACAGACGCAGCTCGGCGGGAGGGGGCTGGCGTGGGGAATGTGCAACAGAGGGGCCTGAGTGCGGGCGGGAAACGCCACGAATGCCTTGCCTGGAGGGGCAGGGAGGGTGGGTGACCGGCTGGGAAGGGCCTGGGCGAGGGGACAAGGAGCTTAGCCTGCAGCGTGGATCTCCGGCCCACACTCTGAGCCTGCGGCTCTCCAGGGACAGCAGGTGGTGGGGAAGAGAGCAGGCTGCCCGTGTCCCGGATGGTTTCTGAGGGAGGCGGGCAGAGGCACGTAGATGGGGGATGCTCTGGAGAACGTCCAGCCCCGAGCGGGACAGTGACGACTTCCGCTGTGCCAGCACCTGCTCTCGCCCGTGGGACCCCAGGGTGCTGGGTTCCCTGCGGGGAGCGGGGTCCATGCTGGCCGAGTCACATCAGTGTCTGGCGAGCCGGGTGAGTTCTGTCGTCAGCGCTCTGGACCCCAGCGCAGAGGCCGAGGTTGGGCACGTGGCCCATGCTGCTCTCGCAGGTCACCGTGGCTGCAGCAGCTCCCCTCTGCCTTCTTTCCCCAGCGGCCCCCACTGTGGACACATTTCAGAGCGGAGTGCAGATGCCCCTGCCTGACGTCGCCCAGTGGGCTGGTGGCACAGCACTGGAATTGTCCCTCCACACAAGAACCAGACGCCCCGACTGGACCTCAAGGAAGAGGACGCTGACTCTCCTGGAATGGACCCTGATAAACAGGCATGATGCCTCGTCTGCCACAGTCTTGACGGTGTGTCCCCCAATTTCACGTGTGGAAATGGCACCTTATAACAAGGGGGCCTTGGGGGTGATGAGGTTGTAACAGCAGCCCGGGAAGTAGGGTCGGTGTGCTTATAACAGGGATCCTGAGAATTCCTCCCACCGCAGGAAGACAGTGAGAGAGCGCCCCAGGAACCAGGCACTGGCCCTGCCGGACTTTGGACTTCAGCCTCCAGAACCGAGAGACACACGTGTGCTGTTTGTGAGCCATGTGGGCTAGGTCTTGTGTGGCAGCCCCCTCAGCCAGGGAATCACCCACGAGTGTGTGAGACTACAGGTGTGAGAAGCAGCGCCCAGGTGCTGGCGGCTGGGGACAGCAAGACTGGTCCAGGTGTGCACAGAGCACTTAGGGACAGAGGAGAGCCCCGGTCGCTGCAAGGCCACGTGGCTGCCTGCAGCCCAGCCAGGACAGGTGACCTGGCCCAGCCAGGGAGCACCTGGGGTAGCTTAAACTAATACAAAGACCACACCCTGGTTCCGGGGTCTGGTCACGACTTGGGCGATTCACAGTTTGCTGGGAAATTATTTGGGAGAACCAGCCAGGGTCACCTGGGCAGATACAAGGCTTCCAACCACCGTGGCTGTGGTCTGGTCGGGGGAACCACCCTCAGGCTGTCAGATTCCTGAGGGACGCAGCCCCTGGCTCAGTACCCGGAGACTCGGGGACAGGAAGTGGCGTTTGCTCTGTGTCTCCCCTCGTTTGCGCATTCACGCCCTGCTCAGCCCTCGTGGTGGCACTGTTTGCTTGGTGGGGACAGCGCGGCGGGGCTGGCGGTTCTGCTCTCCAGGCGAAGTTCTCGGGCCGCGGCGTGAACACGGCCACAGCTTCCGCCCGCCCCTCCTCTTGCGACCCCACCGTGCCAAGTGTGAGTTATTTACGCTTGGACACATGCGGTGCAGACCGATGGCCACCTGCACTTGTCCGTGTGCTCAGATGCTGCGTGTGTGTGTATCTGCGGCAATGACTATAAATAAGCCCCAGCTTGCCGAGTAGGCAGCTCCGCGCCGGCTAAGTTAGCCCAAGGTAAAATCAAGTGCAAACCGGGTGGCTCCCGAGCACAGGCACCAGCGTGCACACGCGTGCACACACACACACACACACACACACACACACAGCCTGAAGGGCTGCCAGATTCCTTGGCCCATGGCCAGGGACCCTAGGATGGAGGTGCCCAGCTGGCAGACAGTGCCTGGGCTCACAGCGCTCAGAGGCCCCCAAAGCCTCTCTCTCTGACAGCAGCTTATATGCCAGGGAGCCCTCAGCGAACAGAATGGAAATACATCTGAGCACTGGTGTCTGAAGCTGGGACGGAGGAGGAGTGCGCGGGGGCAGCGCCTGCCCTGCAGCTGACGGTCCCTGTTCCCTGGGGACAGACTGGGGACTCGAAGGGACACTTTCCACTTTCTGATTCGATTTCCCTATCTGACGCTTTCCTCTGGAGAGCAGCGGGTGATTTATGGGCAGGTATCAGTCGGGAGAGGCAGGCCCACGTCCTAAATATAGCCTCTCTTGGCCATAAATGGGGGCAGCAGGTGCTCGGCTGGGAGAAATTAGCTCCACTGTCCTCGGCCAGGGCCGGAGCTCCGTGCCCGGTGGGCCAGCGCTGCGCTCTCCTCCGCCTGCCTCTCTGTCCTCCGGTGAGTGTCTGTCCCTCCGGCCTGCCCAGTGTGGCTCTGGGAAGGGACTGCAGGTACAGACGCTGGGGCCCTGGGGTTTCCACGCAGGCCTCGCTCCGGCTGCAGGTCCCAGCAGCAGCTCCCGGGCCTTTGGGCGCTGCATTTCCTTGAGCAGGATCCGGGCTGCTCGCATGTGTTCTGTGCTGCCCAGACCCAGTCCCCGTCTTCACGGCGCTCTGTCCTAACCCTAGCCTCCCCTCCGAGTTGCGCTGTGTGGCCGTCCTCTCCTAGGTCAGCTGGTTGATTCCTGTGATTGTCACAAGGTTTTCAGAAATGAAAGAGCAGGAGAGAAAATTGGACAAGGCATGAAGCAAAATGGTATTTTCTTGGGGGAAAAACTAAAGGGTCAGTCAGCTGAGATGCAGGGCTTGGGAGGGAAGCAACACTGCCTGGCGGACGGTGAGGTTCTCCCTGGAGGTGGCAGAGCTTCCCATGTCATTTTCTACCTTGAGTTGCGGGGCCACGAAGGAGAGGCCAAGGTGGGAGCCCCCCTCTCTTCCCACCCCCTCACATTCCCTCCTCCTGGAGGGAGGCCCCGGGAGTGAGCAGCGTTAAAGATGACACTGAGTAGCCAGGGCCCCCGAGCTGGGCACCAGGGCTGGGGCTCTGAGTCCTGGCCACGCCATGTGCCGCTCACCCCTCCCCTCAGAGCTGCTGTGGCTCCCTGAGCTCTCTGGCGTTTCAACTGTAGAGACGATAGGACACAGTGGCAAAGAGCAGGGTAGATGCCACGTACTCTGAGGAGGGTGAGGATGCCGTGTTCCAGGGCTTCGGGAGAGACTGCCAGGAGTCGGGCCCCTCACCTGCACCCTGTGCTTCGTGCACCAAGGGACCATGCAGGTACGGCTCCAGGCAATCAGAGGGACTTTCGACAGCTGCTTCTTCAGTTCTCCATCAGGGGCCACGGGTGGGTCTCTGGCCGGGCAGGGACTGTGCCGTCCGGCTCCCTGCCCAGCTCCACACCGTCCCGGTGTCGGGCAGAAATGAGTCAGGCTTCCTGAGAGGAAGACTGAGCCCCAGGCAGGCCCGCCACAGCTCTCCAAGGTGACTGGGTGAGCTGGGAGCTCAGCTGCCAGGGATTAGACATCGAGCTGCTCTTAACTGATCTTAAGGCTCCTTCTGGGCCGTGGTTATTTTGGGGTCAGTGGTTACTTTGGTGATAAGTCGTTTGGAAAAACCTCTGGGCAGAGCAGGTCCCAGTGGACACGCTCCCAGGGCACAGCTGTGCCAGCTCTGTGCCAACCCGTCCTTCCTCTCACACTGCCTCCAGGGCCAAGTGTCTGTCTCTTGGACATTTGAGTTGTATAAGCAGCTTTTCTTTCAGTAAGTGAGGTAAATGCTTTGAACTGGAACTATCTTTGCAAGTGGCAGTCATGCTTGGGGACGTAAAGCAGAGCCCTGGGGCTCTCCGAGGAGGGACTGGATGAGGACACAGCAGACACGCGGCCCCTGTGCAGGAAGAGGCACCCGTTTCAGGGTGGTGTCAAAATTCCTGAACGTGTCAGGAGCCCTGGGCGCGGCCCCAGAGCCGGAATGTGGCAGGAGTGCCACAGGACTCGCTGGCGCCTGCTCTGCTGGGGCTCGGGAGACTGGTGGGGTACGTTCCTCCGGCCCTTGGGACCCAGGGGGCAGCTGAGCCTGGTCTGCTGGAGGAAAACAGCACAGCCTACAGAGGCCCTGGTGTGGTGGGAGGCCCGGGGCTGTGGGTCCTGGGTATCTACACCTTTCCACCACCTTGCACCGGGGGCTCCATCAAAGCCTGCCCTTTGAGGAGAGGCTGTTCCTCGTGTTTTGGGGGTCTCTGTATATGGGATTAGCACATCTGAGGTAGATTTCTTAGAAAGGAAAACAGCTTTCTAGGTAGAGTACAGGAATGCCCAGGCTTCCTGGTGTGACACATGCTGTAGCGATTTGGCTTCTACAGGTTGCAGCCAGTGGGGATTCACTTCCAGAAGGTTCCAGAAGGTCTAGGAAAGCCCCTCCTGGCACAGGGAGGAGCTGGCGGTGGTGGCACAGCATGCTCAGGGGACGCACACTTGGTTGCACCAGACACAGGTGCAGGTTCTAGGAGGCAGGGGGAGCCGGGGCACCTTGGCCCTGTGTCACATGCATGGCCAGAGCACCAGGGTGCACCCCCGACCTCCACCACTCCCGGGTGCAGGCGTGGGGCCCGTGGCTGATGCTCCCCGACCTCCACCACTCCCGGGTGCAGGCGTGGGGCCCGTGGCTGATGCTCCCCGACCTCCACCACTCCCGGGTGCAGGCGTGGGGCCCGTGGCTGATGCTCCCCGACCTCCACCACTCCCGGGTGCGGGCGTGGGGCCCGTGGCTGATGCTCCAGGTGGCGGTGGGTTGCAGCAAGGGTCCCAGTGAGGGGGTGACTGCACTGCTCTACCAGCCCTGAGTGCTTCTATTCAGTGAGAGGCGGGCACTGTGGACTAAACGTGCCGGAGTGTGCTGTCATCATTCCCTGAGGTGTCAGGGTGTGGAGCACCGGAACTGTGTACAAGTGACCCGCATACCCCACGCATCACTGCGGAGCAGCTGCTTCTCCCCCAGGAGGGGCTCTGGGCTCCCAGGTGCCCTGACAGGTCAGGCTGAGTCAGTGAGGTTCCTAGAGCCGATTTTGAGGAGCACTGGCTGGGGTGTTCGAGGCCAGCTGGTGGAGAGCTGGTTGAGGGGCTGCAGGGCTGAAACGTCCACTTTCTGAGCAAGTGTGTGGGTCCGGCCGTGTGTGACGCCCCTCTGGGAGCCTCTGTGCCCCATGACTGCGCCCACACAGACATACGGGGGGACACGTGGTAGCACACACCTCGAGCGGTGTCCCTCACCTCGGTCCACACGGCTCAGCGCGAGGTCTGGGGGTCCTGTGCTCAGAGTGAAGCACCCCTGGCATTGTCTGCCTGGCCCCCAACACACATGGACGCCCAGAGACTTTGGGCACAGATCCGCCTTGGAGACCCGCTGGGCTCCTGATAGGACCCCACTGGAGGCAGTGCAAAGTTTTACACCTGAAAGAGCTGCATAGATTTTTTTCGTTTTTAATTTTTATTAGTATGTGTCTGTGTTGTGTGAAAATCACTTTTTCCATCCTCTCTCCTGACCCCTCCTTCCATCTCTTGACCCCCTTCCCATTTGAAAAATATCTACCTACTTCCTACTGTCTATCTTTTATTTTGCTCTTTATTTATATTTTGCATTTCTAATTCAGAAGGGACAATGCCGTGCTCAAGCTCGTGTGTCTGGTGCATTTCACTTAACATTATGCTCTCAAATGACTCTCATTTGCCTACAGATGACTCAGGTTTATCTTTTTAATGGCAGAGTAGTACTCCACTATGTGTAAATACTCCACTTTCTTTATCCAGTTATCTGTCGATGGACATTTAAGCCACTTCCAAGAGTTAGCTATTGTGAATTGTGCTACTGAAAATACGGGTGTGCATATATCACTGTTAAAGGTGACTTTAACTCTCTCTGGAATATTCCTAGAAGGGGAATTGCCATGTCAAATAGAATTTCTAGTTTTAGTTTTTTTGATGACTATCAAATTTAATGGTTGTGCTAGTTTACATTGCCACCAACAATATGGAAGCCTTCCTGTTCCTCCCACAGCCCGGCCAACCTTGTTATTTGACTTCTTGGTGTGGCCATTATCTTCTGGAGTGAGATGGAAATGCAGTGTAGTTTTAATTCGTATTTTTTGGATGGCCAGTGATAATGAGCATTTTTCATATATCTGTTGGGTATTTGTACTTCTGAGAAGTGTATATTCAGTTGCCCATTTTTGATTAGGTCTTTCATTGGGGGGCTCTAATTTTTTTGAGTTGTTTGTATATTATGTTAGTCCTCTGTCCAAGGAGTAGCTGCAATTTCTTCCCAATTTTGCAGGTTGGTTGTTTCTTTACTTTGCAGAAGTTTTTTAATTTTATATGATCCCAGTTTTTGCTTCTTGATGTTATTTCTTGTGCAACGGGGGCTCTGCTCAGAAAGCCCTCATCTCTGCCTCTGTCTTCAAGAGTTTCACCTGTTTTATCCTCCTGCAGACTAATGTTTCTGTTTAACATTTACGTCTTGATCCATTGTGGTTTTAGTTTAGTACATGGAGTGAGATATGGGTCTAGGTTTAATCTTCTGTATGTGGACAGCTGGTTTTCCCAGCGCCATTTATTAAAGAGGCGACCTTTCTCCAGTGTATGTTTATCAGCCCCTCTGTCGAAGATCAGATGGCCAAGTGTGCCTGGGGTGGTTTCTGGTTCCTCTATACTGTTCCACTGACCTTCAGGCCTGTTTTTGTGCCAGTTTCTTGCTGTTTTTGTCAGCGAAGCTTTGTAATGTAACTTCAGATCTGGGATTGTTATGCTTCCTGCTTTACTCTTACTGCCTGGGATTGCTTTGGCTGCTCTGGGTCTCATCTGGCTCCACAGGAATTTTAGGATTGTTTTCTCTAGATTTTTGAGGAATGCTGTTGGCATTTTGACTGGGGTTGCACTGAAGCTGTATGTCAGTTTTGGAAGTATGGTCATTTTGAGCCTATCAGTTCTGCCTATGCAAGAACGGGGGTGTCTTTCTGACAAGTTGGTTTTTCAGACACCTCCTGTCTACAGAATCTGAAGTGATGATGACTGTGATCAAGACAGCCAATGTGCTCCTGTTTTGAGTGTACTACTGCCCGGCACTGGCCTTGCAGATTTGACTGGGTGTTTCAGAGCTGGGCCAAGGCCACTCTGTGGTGCTTGGGTCCATTTGATCCAGATCCCTCAGCTGTGGGCCGGGGCCCTCGGCCTCTGCCTTCTCCTTCACCCGTCTGGGGACTCAGTGGCACATGGGGTGGGCTCTGCTTCATCCCGTGAGATGCCACATCCCAAGAGGTGTTTGTCATCAAGTGTGTACCAGGCCCTCTGCACAGGAGGCAACTGGATGAGGAGCTGAGTCTTAGGGGGAGGCTGAGACCACGCGTGTGCCCACATATGGCCCCAGCAGACGCCCGAGGACTGCTGGTCCCTCCTGTGTGCTCAGGATCTTGGTGCCTGTTTTATGCTTCTGCCTGGTAAGAAGGGTCTGGGAGGTCACCAAGCCTCTCTCTAGGCTCTGCTACCCTGAGCTCCTAGGAGGTCAAGGTCTAAAGGGAATTCGCTGGGCGGTGTACCCTTCCCAGGTTTTCTCACGTACTCCCCACGTGGCTGAGCCATTGGGATAGTGGAAGTGGAGACGGCTCCTCTCAGAGGCCCCACAAACCCCCCTCTCCTGAGTGCCCATCCCCTGCTGCCTGTCTGAGTAGTGACCCCCGGGCTGTCCTTGTTTAGATCAGAGCGGATTGTCCTTAAGCATGAAAAACACACATAGGGACCCGGCTTGGAGAAGCGCCTTTGAGCTTTTCTTGGAAATTAATGATCACAGAGATCCAGGTCGTGGCTGGGATCCTCACCATGTTGAAGGCTTGGCTTCCATCTGATGGGATGTGAGGAGGTGAATGGATCATGAGGTCCTGACTTCACCACGGGGGCTAATTCCTGAGTGCAGAGCTCGATGGGCTGACTTGAAGGTGTGGCCTACTTGGATGGGGTTGGGCCCTGGAGCCTTTGAATGGTGTGTCCGGTCCCTGTCTCTTCCTCTGTGGCTCATCTTCTATGGGGCTTCTTGGTCTCCATGTGGTGTGCAACCTTCCTCCCCCAGGCCCTTCCACCATAATGTTTAGGTCTAGGTGCCAGCTGACCATGGACTGAAGCCTCTGTAACGATGAGCCGACATCACTCTTTCCTTCTTTAAATTGTGTATGTCGGGTGTTTGTCACAGCAATGGAATTGTAACACACCTAGGGGTGCAGCTCTGCATGACTTTGTGGAGGTGATCCAGGCCACTGGGGTTTTATTTATTCAGGGTGAACATGCACAAGATATAGCCACATCTAATACCTGCCAAACCCCGGCCCAGAGAGAAGGACAGATCTCACGTGTCTTGTTTGGGAGAGTGTCACCCACACAGGCACATTTCCCCACACCCCTGAGCCCTTGGTGCTGGCTAAGTCTCTGTGTTCTGCTCAGCTCACCCACCAGGTTCACTGTGATTTCAGCAGAGTGGACCTGGAGGTGCTGGGAAACTGAGGCTTTCTCACAGCCCCTTGAGCTGATTCCACAGCCTCCCGCTGTGCTGGACTTCCCAGAGCAGCTTTCTGATGCCTGGCCATGAAACCCGAGGCCCTGCCCTTGTACACAGGTGCCTCCTGTCCCCCTGCCTACTGTCCACCACGGCCTCTGCAGGGTCAGCTGCTGCCTGGGCCTCTCTGCTGCCCTCTCCTCTCATTCCCAGGGTATTTTCCATCTCTCCTCACCCGCTGCTGTTATCATACCTCCTCTTGCATTCCAGGCATTTGTTTACTTCTCTAATCTGTTTTCATTATTTTTAGCCTCCTTGGTAACGTTGGGTTGCACTTGGCCCTTGATATACTCAGCATTCTATAAATGTTTAGTTCCCAGTTAATGAAACATACAGCTCAGATGTAGTTTTTATAGAAGTAAACAGCAATGAAATCATGTCTCAGGGCAGTTAGTGGGCTTCCTGTTCCTAGCCTAGGATGATTCCCACCTGTGCAATCTTGTTTTCACCTCCCACATCCTCCACTGGGTTTTTCCCCTTGGAATTGGTTTTCCATTTTGGAGCAACACCTGTGTGAATCTGGAGGTGGCTCAGGGTGCCTCTCTGTGCAGGGACCTCACCTGGCTTCCTTCTGTCTCTAGAGCCCTCAACATGTCTCTGGTGGCCCTACCCTTCTACCAGAAGAGACACAAGCACTTTGACCAGTCATACAGAAACATTCAGACCAGGTACCTTCTGGATGAGTATGCATCCAAAAAGTAAGTTAACACCATGGGTCAGACTCCTTGTGTTCTCGTTTGGGTCTGGTATTTAAAGGCAGGATCTCCCCAGCCAGGCCCTGGAGAGGAGCTGCTCTGTCCCTCCAGGCCCTCCAGGTGTCCTGCAGGTCTGTGGGCCTGGTGGTGGCCACTGGTGGGTCCAGAGCCTGCATCCTCAGCAGGGCTCACCGGCTCTCCTCTTTCTCGTGTGTCTCCGGCATCAGGATCTAGAAAGTCATCCACAGTGACGGGCAGCGAGAAGGAAAGTGCGCTGGCAGGGAGAGGCTGCTGGGGCAACGCACAGGCGAAGGGAAGTCACAGTCAGAGGGGTTTTGCCTCCTGGACAGCAGGTGTGACCCTGGAGTCCCACACTGCTGCTGCGGCAGGTGACGCTTGGCTGCAGCCCGGCGTATCTGGGGCTGTAATGGGCTGATTAAGAGGCCACGAGTGCGAAGGGAAGGGACCTCTGGGCCGGGCGTGCTCAGCGGAAGGCGCCTGCCACATGTCACCAGCGCCCTATATTTAGAGGCACTTGTGGCACTCTTATTTAGTTGTCATCCTTGCAACAAACACAGCCAAACACTTGTGGCCCCGCCCAGCAGCACAGGGAGGCCCCATCCCTCGGGATATATTTAATTGCGGCTGTGAGCCAGGACAAGTGCGGGGCAGTGGAGGGAGGGGGCGGCGAGAGCCCAGGGACCATCTCGACCTCGGGGCCCCTGCTCAGGCGAGGAGGGCAGGATGAACCGGAACGCAGGCCTGGGCTTGTGCGTGAGAGGGGTGTACGTGTGTGTGTGTGGGGTGTGTACCAGTGTGTGCACATGTGTCAGTGTGCAGGAGCATGTGTGTATATGTGCACACATGTGTGCGTGCCTTGGGCATGCGTAGCCACACTGTGTGCTGCTGTGTGCATGCATGTGTTTACACGTGCATAAATGTGCTCACTGTGTATGTGCCTGTGTCCGTCCATGTGCACGCCTGTGGGCATATGTGTGTATGTGTGGTATGTGCACACACATGTGTGGGCAGGGGCAGTTGGGGTGCATGTTAGGATAACCCTTTATACCTTTCGGGCACTCTGATTTTTCCCCACATCCGTCCAGGCGAGCATCCACCCGGTCCTCCACCCAGAGGTCTCTTACACAGACGTCGTCTGCGCAGAAGGTGTCCAGCCAGACCTCGAGGAGGACTGCGAGTGTGAGTGCACGGGAGGAGGAACAAGAGGACGAACACAGGTAACCACGGTGGCCGCCCTGGCCGCTGCCCCAGCGCTGACCCCAGCAGGGCTGGGAGACTGCAGAGGGGAGGGCAGGTTCAGAGAGCACAGGGCCAGGCCCGCTGTGGCCCCCGCCCCATCCTCCTGTGTCCAGCACTGTCGCCTTGGTCGGGGTGAGTTCCTCACTGATGCCCTTGGTCCAGGGCTGCTTCCCGCAGGTGGGCTCTAGCACCAGAAGCTGGAGGTGAGGGCTGCATCTCCTGCTGGAGCAGTGGCCCGGGGCTGTGTGTCCCCACAAGGTCACCTTCCCAGAGGCAGCCAGGGCCCGGCCAGCTGTCCCTGTGGAAAATGCATGGCAGTGGAGGGTTCTAGAAACCATCATACTTTACATTGCGGTGGAGTCAGCTCACGAGGGCGGAACGTCATGGGAAAGAGGTGGATTAACAAAGCGTCAGTCCTAAAATTATTCCCAGGTGATGAGAACCACAGCTGGTGGTACTGCTGTGGTCTTTGAAGAACAAACAGTTAAATATGTGCTTGCTCTCGTCCCTGCCTCTCTCTACTAGTCCTAGATGTTTTTTTCCATGTCCGTAAAAACTAACCCTGAAGGAAAAACGAAATTTGGGCAGACATGTTTGTTTCCTTTTGAAAGGTGCATCATGACAGTAATTCTCTTAATAAAACACTTTTTCCTGAAAAGGTTAACCCTATTTTAAAACAAACTTGAATTACCTTTTAAATGTCATAGGCGAAATTTGCCAGGTAAATGCATGTTATTGTGAATAGAAAATTTCCTTTGTTAAATAATCCCTTCCAAACGTAGACACTAAAACGATGTGGACTTTAAAGGATGGGTTGTTTTAGAGGGGATTTTCTCCTTGCATTTAAGTTTTGAGGGCTGACTGTAGAGAGCTGAGCTGTGCCATTTTATTTCCACCAACTGTGCACGGTGTGACTGGACAGGGGCGCACACCGCCCCGGCGGCCACTTCAGGATGTGGCCCGTGGGTGTCCGTTAACCTGATGGTCAGTGTGGCGGTTACTGCAGTTCGTGCGGTTTCAGCAAGGGTGACTTATGCAACAGCCCTGGCTGCTGAGAATTGGAACCCTTCCTAAAATGCCCAGCTTGCTGTAGTTAATCGGCCTGGAGCCTGCGTGTGAGTTTTGGGGACTGAGCTGCTTCTCAGGACAGTGCCCGCCAGCCCACCACCATGTCCCCTCCTGTGGGATCGCCAGGCTGCTTCAGGGTCCCAGGGCGCCTCACACTCACGCCTGTGTGTGTGTCCTCCACAATCCCTGTGTGCAAGGTCTGGAAGGCCTCTTCCCTCTCTGAGAATGCCCGTGTGGAGACCTCGTCAGATGGCTGCGGGGCGGAGGGGGATGGGGATGGGCACGCTGCAGCCGTGAAGCAGAAGATAAATCCCAGCCCCTTCTCTGCAGCCCTGCCTCCGAGCTGTGGCGAGCACCTGCTACCTGCTCACACATCTGTGGCAGAAATGCTTCATATCCCAGGCAGTTAGTCTCTTGCAAAGCACGAAGTTATGGCTCGTCAGTCAGAGCCACTGAGCAGATGTCACTGTACCCCTGCTGCCCCTCCTTGGCCTCAGCAAGAGCCAGGCCTCCCTGAGCCCTGCCTGCCAGCGCTGGCCACTCGGAGCCCATGCTCCAGGCACTGTGAGGTTCCACACCAGGGCAGCCTCACAGGGGCTGGGGGCAGAGGGGCAGCGACGTGTCCTTGACGAGCTGATAGAGGCAGGGAGCTCTAGCGGGATGCTGGTTCTGACTGTGTGTGTGTTAGGCGTGGTGGTGCTGGTGGCTGGGAAGGAGCCCAGGCTCTGAGGGGCACTCCCATGCAGCAGGCACAGGATTCCACCAACTTCCGGCCCTTCCAGCCGGACAGTTTGCTGGCGAAAGATCCTTTTCCCTCACTGCTGCTTGGTGGACAAAGGCAGGAGGAGGGCTGGCGTGCTCAGCAGCCTCAGGCCAGGCGTCCCCTTGTCCTGCACACGCGCTGCCTGGTGGAAAGGGAAAGCAAGTGGGCGTTTTCTCTCACCTGGTTGGGCCCAAATCCTGTGTTGGTGCCATTGACATGTGCATGCAGACGTACACGAGTGTAGCTTGTGCTCTGTCGGGGAGGACACGGTGTCGCAAGGAGAGCACGGGCTGAGGTGAGCTATGGAACCTGACAGACTTGTGCAGTGGTCCCGAGCTCCCCTGGTTAGGGCTGGAGAGCCGCCAGGCAGGCGCAGTGAGGCCAGGCATGAGGAGAGCGTCCCAGTTGGTGGGGCGGGGGCCGGAGGTGCAGGTGGGGTCCAGGCATCGGGAGTGCTGGCATCTTGGTTGAGATTTTTGGTTCTTCCAGGTGTCTTTGTGTGCAAAAATGCTGCAGCATTTCTTGGAATTCTGGTCTCAAACTTCCCCAGTGCCCAGTTCTCTCTTAGCTTTATTTGTGTTGTAGGCCAGCGCTGACCCACAGCCCTGCAGGGCGGGGCTTGGCCAGGGCCCTGGATGGATCAGTACCTCTGACCTGGGTGATTTTTGGCCCCGTCAGGGTTCCCAGTGCTGGGGTCCTGTGGCTCTGACTCCCAGCTCTGCAGCATGGGTGGGCCTGGGGGCAGCTTCCAGGGGTGCCCAGGCTGTGTCCTGCTGTCCCCTCTTCCCAGGCCTCATTGCGCACCCGTCCCTGCCTGCTGCTTGCCAGGGTCCTCCCATGCTGCAGTGCAGACCAATGGGCATTTAGTGGGACTTACTGGGGGGCAGGGTGCGGGGACCACAGCGTGAGAGGGGCTGCCCTTCCTTTCTTAATCACAGAGCTCGCAGAGAAAGCAAGGAGATTGGGGTCCAAAGAGTGGGGCGGGGGGTCCGGGTCAGCTTTGCAGGAGTGTGCATTTCTGCTAAGGAAGCTGACAGGGACGCCTGTCCTCGATGGGCTGGGATCCTGGGCAAGTCGCAGGACAGTGACTCTGTTATTAGCTGCGCGTGGGGTGGCCCCAGAGCACCCCGTGTTTTCGAGCAGCCTGGCCCCATGGAGTTGGTGCAGTCCTGGGGCCCAGGAAGATGGCCGTGGAGAGGGCCGGTGTCCCTGTACTTTAGCTTCCCGCTTTTCCAGAACACAGTCACATTTCTCCTCTGCTCTGCGAAAGGCTCTGCTTCCACCCCAGCTCCGCTCAGAGGCAACGGTCTCCCCCAGGGATGGAGAACAGTGGGCTCCACCTTCCCTGAAATTCTCATGTTGCGTCAGGTCACAGCAGGCCCTAGAGCATCTCTAGCCCTGAAGCACCTAGAGGCAGCTGAGCCCTTTATTGAAAACCCTGGGGGGCCCTGTTGCTCAGTCTCTGGGCTTCCACTGTGGGTGCGTCCTGAGCACTTGAAGGAGAGCAAGGTGTGTGCTGCCCGCCCTTCCGCTGCTCCCACGCTGGGGTGTGGAGTCCGGCCCTCCTGGCTTCGGTGTCCCTGGCCCCTGCTCCAGGCTCTGAGGTGTGGCCAGCCTCTCAGTGCCCTGTCATGGCCACACACAGCAGGAGAGTCCTGCCTGCCACTGCCCGGCCTGAATACTGGCTCCTCCTCCCACCTCCTGTATACTTTCCACCCCCCACCCAAGTGCCTCTCTCTTGCCATCCTCTCGCACCTTGAGACTTCGGGAGGCCTGAGTGGGCCCTCGAACCACCTGGTCTTTGGAGCCCCAGCCTGACTGGCTCTCGGCTCCCAGGTACCGGTCCCTGGAGGCGGCCTACGGAGAGGCCAAGCGGCAACGGTTCCTCAATGAGCTGGCGCAGCTGGAGGAGGATGTGCACCAGGTCCGGTCCCACACGCGCAGCACGCTGGACAAGTACGCCCTGCAGCAGACGGTAGGAGCCTAAGCGAAGCCTGGGGGTCCCAGGCGGGGGCAGCGCCCTGACCGCTGCGTCTCGCTTCTTGGCGGCCAGGTGGAGGACCAGATGGCCTGGGGGAGGCATGTGTTCGAGGAGCGCATGAGCCGGGCCCCGGAGATCCTGGTGCGGCTGCGGTCGCACACGGTCTGGGAGAGGATGTCCGTGACGCTGTGCTTCACCGTGCAGGGGTTCCCCGCACCCGTGGTGCAGTGGTGAGTGGCACAGTGGGGGCAACGGGGCATAGACCCCAGACCTACTCTACGGGCTCCCAGGCTTGGGACCTTGGGAGGCTGAAGCAGGAGGATTGCAAGTTCCATTCCAGTCTGCACAATTTAGGGACTTAGTGAGACCACATCTCACATGAAAAAACAAAAAAGAAAAAAGAAAAAGGGCTGGGAATGTAGCTCAGTGTGAAGGCCTTGGGTTCAAGCACACACACACACACACACACACACACACACACACACACAGTTCACAGAATGTCCATTTAAATAATGTACTGGCATTTTAAGTTGAATTACACTGATCTAGCCGAATTTTCAGAGCACTTTCTGTGGAAACCGGTTCCCAGAGATGCCCTGTGCCCCCACCTGGGCACCTGGCCCTGCTCGGCTCACACTGGCCCTGGGCGGACTTGGAGCAGAGCTGGGGTGGCTCAGAAGGGATCTCAGGCCCCAGGGATCCTGCTTGGTCAGTGTCCACCCTGGACTAGGTGCCCACGTGTGATCATTCAGGCCTTGGGTCTGGGCCCTTAGCAGAGCCTCAGTGCTGTCCACAGGCCTGCAAGGCCGAGTCCTGCTCCCCTCGGGGAGGCGGAGCTCTGGCCAACCTGGGTGCTGTCAGGCACGAGTTGCTTCCTGTGATCCAGGCCCCTTGGGAAACTGCAGACCCTTGGGCCTGCTGGGACCCAGCCAGGGCCAGCTCTGCCTTTTCACAGAAATGGACCAGCTCCCGACTTCTGGCCAGGGTGATGCAGAACATGCCCGGGTCCTCTGAAGGCCGAGGGCTGTCCAGGGTGCACCTGAGGCCCGTGCTGCCTCTGCCTCAGCAAGCAGAGCCAGAACCTCGCACTGGCTCTTGTCCTTGCCTGGTGGAAAGAGCAGAAGGCAGGAGCTGGGCGGGAAAGGCTTAGAGAGGGCGGCAGGAAGTGGGCCTGCCTTGGTCCAGACACGCTGTCTCCTCGCCAGGTACAAGGACGGCAGCCTGATCTGCCAGGCAAGTGAGCCCGGCAAGTACCTCATTGAGAGCAAGTACGGTGTGCACACCCTGCAGATCAACAGGTGAGGACGTGGGTGGGTGTGAGCGTGTGCACGTGTGCGTGGGCCACGTCCCTTCACTCGTGTTCGGTCTGTGGAAACAAGACATCAAGCTGACAAACGCCAGTGGTTTGCCAGTGAGCTGCTCTGAGGGAGGGAAGGCCCCGGTTATCCCTGGTTTCAGCAGAACGGTGTAGATTCCTGAGAAGGACAGGGACAGCCAGCAGTGTAAGGAACATCCTGGCGGCCAGGCCGATGGCCACACTCGACGAGGGGTTCTGGTGATCCGCATGGCTGCCCAGCCAGGCACTTGGAGGAGCGCGGTCTCATCCTCTCTCCTGTGACACCAACAGCCTGTGGGCCATGCAGGTCAACAGCAGGAAACTGACATCATCCGTGAGCCCACGTCCAGGTCGGGACTGCGGGGTGCATCCAGCATTGATTATTTTCCTCACACACAGACTGACATGGACATGCACATGGATGGGCAAGACACGTACACACAGACTGACACAGACACAGAGACACACAGACATACGGACTGACAAGGACACACAGACTGACACGGACAGACACATGGACACGCGTGCAATGCCCTCCAGAGTCCTCACCAGGCTAGGGCTTGCAGTGGGAGCATCCCACCTCCCTCCCACTGGAAAGGCGTCTGCACACCCAGCTGCTGTGCCATGTCGCTGGGCCATGGGAGGGCATGAAGCCTCCATGGGGAGGAGCGGTGCAGCTCCAGGCTCCACCATGTGGGGTCCAGAGTGATCGGGGTCTGCACTGGGGCACCACTAAGGCACCCAGGGTGGGGCTCCAGCTACAGGGCCTGGAGGGTCCCTGCTGAGGAACCGGGTGACCGACACTTCCTGGGAAGGTGGAGGCCTTGGGTCAGGCGTAGGGTGGGCAGGTGCTTGTTTGCCTGGGAGCCCTCGCTGAGCGCAGCACCTTGCCTCGAGCTGCTCTGTGTGTGGGCAGAGCCCGACCTCTGCCCAGTGCCCCTGCCTTCGGTCCTTCCTCTTCCCACTTAGCCTGGCCACTGCTCAAGTCAGCTCCTCCTGGGGCTCCTGCTGGCTGTCGGATACGCCTGCCCAGTGGTCCCTGCCCCTGGTTGGGGTCCCCTCTCTGCCGCAGGCTCTTCTCAGCTGGAGCCCGCGTCCCTGCAGAAAGCAGGGGAGATGAGGCTGGCCCAGGTTCCAGCCTGGTCCTGCAGGCGAAATCACTTTCTCTAGACTCATGCCAGGCTGGCCTGTTACCCGGACGACTGTGTGCTGGGCGCAGCTCTGGACAGCAGACAGTCACCACCTGAGCAGGGAACACTGCGCCCAGCCTGGGAAAGGGGGCCGGGCCTGGCCGCAGGTGGCGCTGTGCAGTGGGGTCAGGGCGGACCTTCGAGGGAGCATGTCACCTGTCATGTGTCACCTGGGCAGGGCTGGGGGTGCTAGGCTGCAGCTGTAGGGGTAGCCTTTGGTTAGGAGCCCCTAACGGGCTACAAGAGGTGCATGGGTTGCTGGGGAAGGTCAGAGATGGGGCCCTCCGGCGCACCCCAAGGGACATCAGAGGACGTCAGCGGCAGAGGAGGCAGATCTGTGTCTCCTTGAAAGTGTTGCTCTGGTCAACCCAGGGCAGAGGCCATCATGGGTGGCCCAAGGGTTCTGTGGTAGAGCAGCAGGTTCAGGGGTTCTGGAGGGGGAGGGGAGCCAGTTGGTCGGCGGCCTTGTGCTCTCCGCTCTCTAAGGTGGTGTCAGCCATCTGGGGGAGCCCACACCTCTGTTGGGGAGCGTTTCCTGCAGGGACACCTGTTGGGATCTACTCTTCCCAGCGGGTGGGGAATGGCGTCTTTGTGAGCAGTTCCCTGGTTTCTGGGCTGCATTTTAAACAGGACACAATGGCTTCCTTTTCCTAAGCGGAGGTCACAGTCATCCAATGCTGACAACACCCAGACTCTCCCTTGGGAGTAGCGTGGGCTTTGACCCCGGGACCACTGCAGGCTGGGTTTTGCACAAACGTGCCGATGCAGAGCCCACTCCCAAGGCCCACTTATTTCCTGGTGTTCTTATTCCAGCTGGGCCATTTTTAGCAGATGAAATATTAATGTTCTTCAGGGAAAGAGCAGCGGGAGCCACAGCTGATAGCTGGTCTCAGCTGTCCATTCTGAAGTGCTGAGCTCCGCGCCATCCGACCCGAGCTGCGTTTGGGTGTGGAATGCATGCCCGCCCTTCTCTCTGAGGCTCTGGCTCCGGACCAAGCTCCTGCTTCTGTCAGGGATGACGTGTGCACCTATGAATATTCTTTGGCCCCTGCAGAAGCTTCTTAAAATGCTGAAAAGCATGCCCACCTTCGGAGCTATTGAACCAAAACTTGTCATCGATGCTCTTTCTTAAGCTCGTTGGATTTCCTCTGGGTACTTGTACTTCGGGTCCCGTTTCTTCAAGGAATTTTAATGTTGCTCTCATATTTTTATAGCCCTGTTTAAGCACCATGTTAGCAACACTGCCATTCCCCAGTCCTGGCAGGGTGCTCTGGAGACTCAACTTTTCTTGTACTTTATTTTTAGACTTTGGTGTTTGCGTTTTGAGTTGCGTTAAATTCCGAGTGCAGCATCGACCACTGGTCATCTTGCTGGGCTGTCTACTCATCTTTTAAACATTCAATAGCAGTAGTTCTTGAGAGGATAGGGTTGGGGCCGCTTCACACAGGGCCTTAGAGGGCAAAAGAGTCCCTGTGGAAGCCCATAAAAAGGGAGACCGGGAAAGCTGTCCATGCCGGGATGCGGTCCAGGCAGGAGCCGAAGCCCTTGCGAGTTCCCGCAGCATGAAGTAAAGGCTGGAATTAGCGGCGCTTGCTCAGGGCTTTCTCTTGTATGGCCTTGGAAGGAGCAAGGGCTGGGTCCTCCGGGCGTGGGGAGTGTGCGGTAGCGTCTCCTCGGCTGTGGTGGGTGGGGTCAGGGCTGTGTGGACACGGCCTGCCAGGGGGTCTTCCCCACAGTGGCTGCCAAGCAGTGACAGCTGCCTCCCACGGCCCCGCACCCTTCCTTCGGCCCCCTCCTGGGATGTGAACCTGTGCCGCTGTGTAACCTGCTTGTTCCTCTGCTTCCAAGTGGCTTTCACAGTACATCTCTCACCAAGGAGAAATGTAAACATCACGACATGAAAAGAAGCAGCACCGAGGTTCCACCCCACCCCTGCCCCTGGGAACCGTGGCCTCCATCAGCGGTCTGGTGCTTTTACGGGTCGTGGGCTTCCTTCCCAAGGGAGGCTGTGGACCCCAGGCTCTGAGTGTTTCCTGCGGGTTCGCCCTCTTCTGCCTGCGTCCCTGGCTGCACACAAGGTGCTAATGGGTTACTTTATGGGTTGAGCAGCGCTAATACGTCAGGTGGCTCTGCCCCGTCTCAGGGCCCAGGCTGCCCCATGAACACAGTCTGGTCTCCATGGTGATCAGCTCGGTCCCCCTCTGCCCTGCAGCTCCGGAGCAGTGAGAGCTACCAGCTGCCGGCCCCGGGCCCCTGGAGGGAATCTTCTTGCCCAGGAATGCAGCTCAAACATTTAAATGGATGCTATATAAAGTTAACATCCTGTTTTAAAGTTGCAAGAGGCTTTCAAATACATTGCTTTAATTAATCATCAAAGTCCTCCTGGCCTATTCAACAGATACATCACAGGGCTTTAAAATAGAAGCGACATGGCTACTATAAGACCAGTAGAAGAGGGCAATCATCCTGACCTCGTGGACAGGCAGGTAGACAGACAGGAGAACTCAAGGCGATCCCTGTGATCCTCACAGCCTTCCCCTCCGCCCCCTCCGCCCTGTGGACTTTATTCCAGCTGACCAGTATTGGGAAGAAGCCTGATGCACAAAGATGGATATTCGCAAGCAGAAGCAAGGCGCACCTTGAATCTCAGGTCATTAGCTGAGCAGAAGAGGCAGAAGCTTTGTCGCAGGCTCTGGCTCAGGCACAAACAAGCCACAAGGCTGCACAAAAGTTGTATTATTGGGCATTGATGTGCAATAAGTTTATGAGCCTTTGAGTACAGCTTTGACTGTGGGTTAAAAGACTGTCAAAACACACATGCAGCAGAAAGTTGCAGCACACTGGAGAGGCTTGTTTGAAAGCTCTGGAGCGGAGTTGGGAAGCTGTTCTACAAAATGTGCCTAAAAGGGTTGGAATGGGTGTCACATGGGAAGATCTGTGCGACCCGGGTACACTCCCCTGCACTCTGTGGACAGCTTTTTGGGGGTGCCTGGTGCTCTTGGTAGCCATCTTCTCCCCGTTCAGAGTTGGGACGGGTGACCAGCAGGCTGGGCAGCCTCTTCCAGTTGGCCAGCTGCCTCCTGCGAGTCCGGCTGGGGACCTGTCCCTTTGGCTCCGAGCTGTGCTGGGGTGGCTTGGTGCCTGGCTCACTACGTCAGAGCCTGGTCTGCCTCTGGGTGACCCCTGCTGGCCTGCAGGTCAGGAGAGGTGGCTCAAGCAGCTGTGGAAAGCCGCCTTCTCCGGGCTGACATTCTAACTGTCCCAATAGTAGGACAGCAGCATCTCTGGCCTAGGTTCTGACATCTAATACAGCAGCAGCACGGAGTTGTGAGCTGCGTGCCCGCGGTGAGCAAGCCCGCTCACACCAGCTCTGCTCCTGGGGTTCCTGGGAGCAGGGGTGGGTTGCTCCCCACTGTGGGATGGATGTGGGAGGTGGAACGGACTCAGTCCTTGCCATGTGCAGGTCATGGCCCTGATGATCACAATGCACCCAGGGCTCTTCCTACTTGGGGATCGTGGTGTTGTGGTTCAGAAGATGACTTCCATGAGGCAGGGCCCTGGCAAGACTGAGGTGGTTCTGCTTGCCCACCGGGGGTGTCCATACTCAGGAGGCTCCAGGGTCCCCAGCCACGCCTCGGCCCCTGCTTGCTCTCATGGATACAGCTCTGTTTCCTATCTGGGCCCCCTCAGGGTGACCGTCCCAGAGGCTTTAGGGACGGGGTGTCACAGGCATGGCCTGCTGGGATGAGCACACAACACGGCCGGGGAAAGGACCCCAGCCTGGTGCAGCTCCTGGGCCACCTTGGGCACAGCAGGGCTCTGGGACCCGGCGGGTCTGGGTTCCTCTGATGGCCCCTTGTTCCTGGCACGGATGACTCTGCTGGGGGTGGCAGTCACCAAGCCACCAGTCCACAAGTAATCCTGCAAATGCTGTCGCGGTAGAGAAGTCCGACAGGATGGACCGGAGTACTTGGGGCAGAATGACAGCGTTCTGGCAGCACTCACACCTTTTCTTTCTCAAAGCCAGGGCCTGGCTGAGGCCTAGGGTCCCTTGCTCACCACGCCTGTCATTCATACCTCATGTGCTGCTGCTCCAGGCGCAGCTGGCCTTGATCACAAGCACATCACTCACGCTCGGGCCAGCTAGGTCAGGCTGTGTGCTTTCCAGGAATGTTTTGTTAACCTCAGGACTCTGCCGTTCCCAGAGCCGCCCACCCACGTGGTCTTGCTTCTTCTCTCCAAGGGCGGACTTTGATGACACGGCCACCTACTCAGCAGTGGCAACAAACATCCACGGACAGGTGTCGACCAATGCCGCGGTGGTGGTGAAAAGTGCGTAGGGCTCTGGGCGGCCGGGAGGGAGCCTGGCGTCCTCCTGTCTCTCTCGCCGCCTTCACCCCATTGTCCTTCAGGGTTCCGCGGGGACGAGGAGCCCTTCCACTCCGTGGGACTCCCGATCAGGCGTAAGTGCACCTTGGTGGTTTGTTTTTTGTTTTGTTTTTATCCAAAAAGGTGCTTAGTGGCATGATACACAATTAAAGGTATTACTTTCTAGGGTCAAATACTTTTTAAAGCTTACATCTGGAAGCTCCTCCGGGTTTTCCCTGGCCAGCAATAGTGTGGGGACGGGTTGTTCCCGTGCTATTCTGCAGCAAGGTAGCATTGTCAGACACAGGCGATATCACTCTGTGGGGAGACTTGACATGTCTAACTCAGAAAAGAGAAATGAGCCCAAACCCTTGACTCGAACACCTCGTGACGCCCTGTCTCATGGGTAAGGACCTGCCTCCCCTCCCTGGAAAGTCCCTCATCATTTACAGAGTGAGCAGCTCCTAGAGCGGGCCCTGCACCCCTGTCAGACGACTTCCCTCCTGCACGAGTCCTTGCCTTCCTGTACCTTGGCACCACCTGGGGAGCCGTTGTCTGCGACCGCCCGCTCCTGTTGTGATGGTGACCTGCAGGGTCTCTGTCCCAGGCCCGCCGGCTCATGCTCATGGCCCGAGGAGGGGTCTGAGGAGTCAGGGGCTGCGATGAGGGAACCAGGCCCAGGGTCTCCCCAGAACCCGGGCTCTGTGGCTGGCTTACGGTTTGGGAATGAGATTTTGAGCTGACCTCGGATTCTGAAAGGGGTCCTGCCTCCCGTAGAGGCTTGGCTAGAGGCCTTCATGTTATAAACCAAGTGCTGGTGAGGAACTGGACGCTGAGGGCCAATCTTTTCCGGAGTGTGCTGAGTACTCTGGATCAGGTTCGTGTCTGATCACTTCTGCACGTATTTTATTGCACAGTGGACATCCAAGTTCACCAGAGGCACCCGGAGAGAAGCTCCAGGTGGGCACTGGAGGTCTGAGGGGTCCTGGTGGGTCCGGTCCTTGCAGGAGTTTTAGGACAGTGGTGTTGTCCCTGTGTGCCCAAGAGGTGGGGGGCTCCTGCCCCCTCCCTGGGTTTTTTCTACTCACTATGACTCTGTCCAAGTAGAAGCTTGGGTTATTTACAGAAGTCTCCACACACTGACCATCACGATTGCGATAGTAATGTTGGGTCATGTCTTCACCACCCATTTTTAACTAATGTAGATATTCTGCATTTCACTTCAATTTCTTTCAAAAATCAGAGTCAGATCCCTATAACACAAATCTGACCCTTGTGCAGTGTACAGTTCAGCTTCAGGCATTTCTGAAGACCTGCACTATCCCGGGCGGGAAACCTCCCCGCGGGGCCTGCTCCTCCTCCTGTTCCGAGGTGCGCCGATTGTCTGGAACATTCCCTGTGCGCACTTGCTCGCATGTGTAAATGGTAGATTTTTGTTTCTATCGCCCTTGTAGGGTTGATTTTCTCTGGGACACACACCCTCCCCTCCCCTCCCCACATGGTCTGAGATGGGACCTGGTTGCCCACTTGGGCTACGAGGCACCCTACTGATGAGCGCACTGCAGTTTATTCTGAAGCGGGGCACTGTGGCCTCACGGTCAGCCTGACCCGCTGAAGACACATCTGGCCCAGGAGGTGGGACACAGACTGCTCCAAGACCGGGGCCCACGCTGCATCTTTGTCCAGCGGCTCCTAGTGACAGGTGTCCTGCCTCCTGGTTGGATGTGGATTTGGGGGCCCGAATCTTCAAAGGCTTAGAGGAGGTGTCTCTAAGCACTCACCAGCATTCCAGGTTAGCAGCCGGGAGGCACGGACCCTGGTGCTGACTGCCTGCCCTGCCCCACCCCCCGCAGTGCCTCTGTCCTCGGTGATCCCCTACACCCACTTTGATGTTCAGTTTCTGGAGAAATTCGGCGTCACCTTCAGGAGAGAAGGCGAGACCCTCACACTCAAGTGCACAATGCTGGTGACGCCAGACCTGAAGAGAGTGCAGCCTCGGGCCGAGTGGTACCGGGATGGTGAGTGGCACGATGTCCCTGGGGTCCACAGCCCGGGGCAGGCCCCTCGTCATTTAGGCAGGAATCACAGAGTACACAGAGTACACACACGCAGAGTATAGACACACAGAGCACATACACAAAGTACACCCACAGAGCACACACATGCAGAGTATACACACACAGAGCACACACACAGAGCACACACACGCAGAGTATACACACACAGAGCACACACTCAGAGTACACACTCAGAGTACACACACAGAGTACACACACGGAGCGCACACAGAGTACATGCACACAGAGCACACACACAGAGTGCACACACACAGAGCACACACACAGAGCACACACAGCACACACACACGGAGAGATCGATCCAGCTGGCTGCAATGCAGCTTCCCCTCCTTCCGTTTCCTTGACTCCTGGAGTGTTTCCCACGCGCTCCTAGGCACCTGCTCTCCTTCACAGTGCACTCTGAGTGCCTTGCCCTTGCTCTGCTGGTCTGTCTGTATCCTGCAGTTTATCCTGCAGCCCCTGCGGTGGGCACTTGCTGCCCTGAGCACCGTCAGGCGGGCAGCCCAAGTCCCAAGTCCCCGTGGAGTGGGATGGCGGGAGCCCCACTGGTGCTTCCTGTGCGGGAGAAGCAGCCCTCAGTCTCCATGTGGCCCAGGCCTCTCTCCACCCTGTCCCCCAAGCCTCTCTGGGAGAGCGAGGGTTTTCTTTGACTCTCGGTGACCTCTGAAGCTGACCTTGAACTCTGACCTCTTCCAGACGTGCTGCTGCAGGAGTCCAAGTGGACCAAGATGTTCTTTGGGGAAGGCCAGGCCTCACTGTCCTTCAGCCACCTGAACAAGGATGATGAGGGGCTGTACACCCTGAGGATCGTGTCCCGTGGTGGGGTCAGCGACCACAGCGCCTTCCTGTTCGTCCGAGGTGGGCCTGCGGGGCAGCAGAGGCCCATGGCTGGTGGGGGGGAGGCGGTGAGGCAGAGGCCTGGGCAAGGCCCATAGAGGAAGCCGCCGTTCCCAGACTGTACCCCGTCACTCTGCAGGTGGAGGAGGGAGGGCAGCGGTGTGAGGCACTCGTGCCCCCTCAGAGCTCATGAAGGGCAGAGAGGGAGAGACGGAGGGAGACAGAAGTAGGGAGGGAGATGGAGACCGAGAAGGAAGAGACTCCGACTCCTCTGAGCCCTGGAGCCCTGGGTCTGGCCGATCTCCATGCCCTCCCGCCCTGATCCTCACTCGGGCTTGGGGAAGGTGATCCTGATCCCATTCCATGGAAGGAGAAACAAAGTCCACAGTGAACCAGGCTGTGCCAGGCATCGCACATGTGTTACACATGGGTGCTATAATGTTCTGTGTGCACCAGCACTTGTCACACACATGCATGCGTGTGTGGTGTGTCTGTGTGCACACCCGCCTCACAGACACACGTGTTGACATAGCCTCGAGTTCTCCTAACAGTTTTGTAAGAAACTGAGATCTTGAGTCTCAGGCAGGAGACACAGCTCTGAGGTGTAAGGCCCTGGCTGGGCCCCTCTGGAGCGGGCCTGGGGGTCCTTGCCAGGCCGTGCTACGAGCTCCTTGGAGGACTGCTCCCACTTCTCCTGCATGGTCCCTTGCACAGCAGGGACCTCTGCAGCCTCCACGCTTGCAGGCTTCCTACACAGCCAGGCGGCCCCCTGCACCCACACGACGTACTCCGTCCTGCCTGGCTGCCTGGTCCTCGTGTCCTGGGCTCTGTCCTAGTCACTGCTGGGCTCGGGCTTCTGTCCATTGCCCCATCTGGAGGTCCGGCACAAGTGATGTCCAATTGCGATGGAGATGTTGGCCCCCCATAGTGCCCAGCGAGGCCAGGGCTTACGGGAGGTTCTGTGGGTAGAGAGCACCTCACCGCACAGCAGAAAGCTCATTGCACTCCCCTCCACCATGACCCCACGTGCCCATGTGTCGTGCTGTGTTCCTGACGCTCTCAATGGAGCACCCCCCAGTGGGAGTCTGGGCAGGACGCCAGCAGGGGAGCTGAGCCATTCTGGGAGCTCTGGGGTCGCTGGGGGGCCACGTGGAAAAGCCCCTGGCTCAGGATGTGCAGAAACCACACGGCGCTGTCCCGCAGAGGTGGGGCGGCCATGGCCAGCGCAGGGCAGGCAGCCTGGGAGCAGGGAGCTGAGTGTCCAGTGCAGCTATGATAGATCTGGAAACTGAACCAAGCAGATGGGCTGATAACCAAGTAGTAGTCCCCTCCTTCCTGGGGACGTGGGACACGCGGGAGTCTGAGGTGACCTCCCGCAGGTGCTGCTGCGCCAGAGCGCCGTCAGCAGTGCACTTTGACCACAAGCCGTTATGTCACCAGAGAACCCCAAAAAGGTGAGCTCTCAATTCAGGATCCCATCAGGAGGAGTCACAGCCTCGAGCGTTTCAGAGAGGGTTAGCTGCTCCGAGTTTTGAAAACACAGGAGCATATTTAGCCAGGGCAAGCAGGTACGCAGGCAGGCTGAGGATGCGGAGCGGGCGCCGGTGTGGAGGAGCCTGGCAGGCCGTGCAGCGCCACCCGCTAAGGGTTGTGGCCGTGTGCCCCACCCCAGATGCCGACCCGCTGGTCACAGGCGCTCCCGGGGCGCCCATGGACCTGGAATGCCACGATGCCAACCGGGACTACGTCATCGTGACCTGGAAGCCGCCCAACACCACCACAGAGAGCCCGGTCATCGGCTACTTCATCGACCGGTAAGTGACATGGAGCCGATGGGGAGTGCCTCTGGGTCCACCTCTAGACCTCAAGATCCCGCTGGAGCTGCACTGCCTGCTGGCTTGGGCTCCCTCGTGCTCCTGGCTAGGAGTTGGCAAGTGTTGCCTGCTGGGCTGGGGCAGGACAGCACGTTGGGCTTCTCCTTGCTGCAGTTGCACCCCGCACCGCCGTCCTGTGCCGGGCTGGTGGGCTGGGCTGGTGGCTGGTGAGCGTGAGGAGACTGGAGCAGCCTCGTGCCCACAGTCCTGCTTGTCTTCTGTGGGAACTAAGCCTGCCTTCTGGTTTGCAAGTGAAACACTGGAGCTTCAAAGTACAAAACACTGTCGCTCCTCTTTGAGTCAGTCACTTAAGTTTAGATCATCGTGAAAGCCAATGGGTCTTTAACTCTAGTTTTCCTTTACTTGGCATAACTCTCAGCGCCTGGGGTGAGGTAGAATTCCTTAGAGTCTCAAATGCAAATGTTAATCATAGGAGGAAACTGTGGGTAAAGAAAATGTCTACAGGAATGAGACAGGCTCCAAGTTCTAGGGTGATAACGGGTTTGTTCCTGGTGGAACTAGGATTCCACATTCATAATGTGGCAAAATAAGCTGGTTGTTTCAGAAAAGAATCAGTCCATGGGGTTTTGGCTTAGGCAGATGAAATTCAGTTCTCCAATCAATGAAGATACTTATTTCACTAAGATATTCACTGTCAGGAATGTTTGATGTGCTAGATACAGATCTGTGAGCATATTTTTGGGGTTAACCTTGAATTAAAAAAAGAACAAATTCAAACCATTTCTGTGCTGTGTCTGACCATATTTCCAACCATTTTGCCAACCATTTTGCATCTCAGTGCATCTGTACCCCTTTCCCTTTGTTAAAAACACTAAATTGAGGGAACGTTCCAGAAAGCCCAGCTCCCTGCTTTGGGTCTCACTTTGCCCTCTTCCCAGGGCTTGCTGACCTGGGTCCAATCCCCAGCCCTCCTGGGTTGGCCTGGGAGGCGCCCAGTGATCAGGTGGGACAACTGAGCAGTTCTGTGGCTCAGAGGAGGCTCAGGCTCCTCCCTGCAGGAACACACAGCTCTGTGCCTGAAGTGTCCAAAGACTTGTTCACCTGAACTGGCCCTTTCTTCTGAGGATTTGTCATGAAGTTTTGTACATAAATTTCTCGACCCATGAAAAATGGAGGTAAACTTTCCCTACGTTTCCAAAACAGTATTTGCAGAGGGCCTTGAGATTCTCCATGAGAGACGCTGTTGAAAGAAGTACCTTCCCTTCTCAGCAGCCTGAGGCAGTGCTGGGGAGTGCGCTGGGGGGAGCGCTTCCCCGCTCAGCTAGGCACCGGTGGCACTCAGGAAGGGGGCTCCAGACCAGCCAGGGGCAAGGTACCCTGGGGCCCTGTCCCTCGTACAGCGGACGGGGAAAGAACAGTGGACAGTCCACCCAGCTGAACTTCCTGGGGGGATTGTAAAGGCTCAGGGTAATCTCTTTGTCTATCACCTATGTATGTATCTGTGCATCTGTCTGTGTTTATCGCTACATAGACATAAGCTGTAAATTACAAAAACTCGTGATCATTCTATCTATCATCTATCATTTGCCTATTTCTACATAGATATAAGGTGTAAATTATAAAGATTCTATTCCACTCAGTCTATTTGTGTGTCTGTTACCTATGCATCTATATGTTTCTGTCTTTACGTAGACAGAAACTGTAAGTCATAGACACATGGTATTCTGCCATCCATCCGTCTACCTCTACGTAGGCATCACCTCCAAGTAGCTCCCTACCGGTGGCTGTATGCAGATATTTCCTGCACAGCCCTGTCTGTTGAAGCTGCTCAGCCTGCTGTCTGCGTGGTCAGGATCTTAGTGCTGTGGACTCACTGGTGTGGACATCTCCCGTGACAGGGACGCATGGGTGACTGTGATGCTGGCAGGTGCCCGTGCCACCCTCTCCCTCCCTCTGGTTCTGCCTTCCAAGGTGCGAGGTGGGGACTGACAGCTGGGTGCAGTGCAACGACGCGCCTGTGAAGACCTGCAAGTACCCCGTGACAGGCCTCATTGAGGGACGGTCCTACCTGTTCCGCGTGAGGGCCGTCAACAGCGCAGGTGTCAGCCGGCCTTCCCGGGTCTCTGCCGCCGTGGCTGCTCTGGACCCTGCTGACCTCAGGAGGCTGCAAGGTAGGTGGCTGGCAGGCGAGCCGCCCGCAGGGCCCCAGCGGGGTGCTGTCCTCCTGTTCTTGATGCCCATCTGTCCTTTTGGGAGTGGAGACACTGGGCTGAGGTCCCCATCCTCCCCTTCCCCTACCTGGAGCAGGGCTCAGAGTCGGACCTTGCTCACCCAGTGATGGGGTAATTTCAACCTGTCATGGAACCTAGAAAACCGCTCCATTCTGAGCTTTAATTTTACACAAGAAAGGTTCCTTAGAGGTATTGGACCCTGGTCAGGGCCCAACTGAATCTCACGTGCTGTCCTCTGAGTCCTCTAGAAAGGCCTGACAAGAGCTAAACAGTGCCAGGACCACATCCAAAACCCCAGCTCTGATGGCTCTGAGGATGTCTGTGCTGAGGCGCCCTGAAGAGGGGCTCCGCCCTTGCCCTGGGCCAGGGGAGCTGCGCCTCCTTGGGGATGCTTTGGGTGACAACTGCACCATAATCACCTTCTCTCTGCAGCAATCTACTTGGAAGGAGACAAGGAAATCGTGATCTACCAGGATGACCTGGAAGGTACGGGCATGCCCCACTTCCGGGTGTTTGGAGTGCGGTCGGGGACCCGAGCACCTGCAGTGTGGATGCTCTGCATGTGCAGGTCAGGTCCTGCTGAGTGACGTGGAGGAGAAAACGGAGGGGAGGCTGAACAGGGTGGGTAGAACCCTTGGGGTGAGTAGGGGCCTGGTCCTCCTGCTGGGTTCATAGGTACACTCTTTAGTTTTTTGAGACAGAATCCCTATGTCATCCAGGCTGACCTTGAACATGTGGACATCCTTCTGCCTCAGCCTCCTGATTGCTGGGATTACAGGCATGCACCACCATGTCTAGCCATAAGTGCATTCTTTTCGGGACTCACAGAGCAGAAAGCAAACTAACACTGAGACTTGCCTGCTGGCTCACAGGCTCCTCCTCACAGCACTCCCTATCTCACCTTTCAGAAGCAAAACTTCTACTGCGACATTTTAACCACCATTGATCCAGTCTGCCTTGCCCACTGATGTGCTGGCTTTGAAAGTCTGTTTTTCCCTTGTTTATGCTTGATTCTGAGAAGATGTCTTCCCACTGATATTCCTTCCAGAGACATCGGGAAAGACTTGCTAAGGAGAACCGAGCACTGTTACTCAGAAATCCCAACTTTGTAGTCAGGATCAGCCCTGGAGTCTGTGAGCGGAAATTCAGTCAGATTCTAAGGCCTCCCGGGAGCCGCCGGCAGGCCGAGGCGGGACTGGGCCCCTCCTTGGGAGGCAGGCAGGGTCTCAGTGCTCCTCCATGGCATTGGGGCCCGGGGCACTCGGCGGCTGGTTTCCACGCTGCAGGTGGCCCGGCCCGAGGTGGCCCTGCGCTGTTGCCTCCAGCAAGAGGGTTTTCCCTGGGGTCCCGGCAGGAGCCTGTGTCTCAGGGCTGCTGAGGGAGGTGGAGTCCCAGGCATGCGCTTAGTTGGCAGAGGTCACCCGGCAGGGAAGGCCTTTGTCAGGCCTCTCCCGCCAGAGGCGCAGAAACCTGGAGAAGCTCTGGGTAGATGAGAAGAGCAGAAAGTGCCCCACAGGGGCGAGGTCAGGACGACCACCTGGTAGCCTCAGCTGGCATCGCACCAAAGTGACCAGGGCCTGGCCCTGCCTTTGTTGCTAAGGTGCTGGCATCTGAGTGACAGGAGGGCTCCAAGCTGTGTAGAGGAGGCCAGCCTGTGCGATGTGAGTTTTCCTAGGAGTTTGAGCCGGGTAAGGTGGCCCGGGCACCTTGCTTTTTACCTGTCCCATGTCTGTGAGGAAATCCGCACTGCTCAAGGGGGCCGTGCGGAGCAGGGAGAGGTGAACGAATACAGCACAGCACAGATGTGGTCAGTGCAGGAGTGTCACACGTGCACGGGCTGGGTCGCCACCACAACACGGAGCGGAGGTCAGGCTTCAGACCCGACGGCCCCCCCACCCGGCTGGAGCGAGTGGCAGAGGACACTCCCCAGCTGCGGTCGGTCACTGCGTTCTGGAAGTGGCAGTGTGCGGTCCCTGGGGACATTCTAGGCTCTGGTTATACGGAGGTAGCGGCTGTGGGAGGCAGAGAGAGAGACTCCTGGATGGTCATGGTGCAGGCTACACCAGTCACCAGCAGCCCGGGCCGTGTTGTGCCAGGTGCCCTGGAGGAACACTGGGCTGGCCCCCCAATCTCACTGCACCCCTGGGCCTGCTGTGGTCCAGATGCAGAGCTCCTCTGCCTGCACGCTGCTCTTCCTGTCTGGGCAGTGCCAGGAGTACCCAGGCACCCGCTGGGCTCTGCTCAGAGACTGATTTGGACTTCTTGCTGTGGCTTCAGATAGTGTTTCTTATCCAGTAACGTGTTAATAACATCCCTTAGTTATTGCAGGCTGATCAGGCCCACAGTCTCCCAGAAGAGTGGACAGCAAAGCCTTAAATAAATGAATCAAGTGGTAAGATTTCAGAGCTCCAGAAGGATCAAAACAGTCTCACAGAATTTGAGATTCTCTTTCTTTTTTTTTTTTGGTTTTTCTCCGGTACCGGGAACCGAACTCACAACCTTGCGCTTGCCAGGCAGGTGCTTTTGCCGCTGAGCTAAATCCCCAGCCCCCAGAATTTGAGATTCTCTGGGGCTAAGACAAAGGCCTTCTCTGGGCGGCCATATTTATTTAGCTGTCAAAGGAGGGGAGTACTGAGAAAGGTGGGAATCTGAGCCAGGGCCAGTGACTCACAGCAGTTCACTCACTATGAGTCTGCTGCCCGTCTCCAGACAAGGTGCCTGAGCGTTGGACAGCTCACAAGTAAACATGAAAAGCCAGCTGGTTAATTTTAAATCCTGCTCAGAGCCGCTTTGTAGTGTTCTCCATCAATCCACAGTCCCTGAGACCAAGCCAGCCAGACGCCGCTCTCCCCCTGCTCCCGTGCGCCTGTCCCCAGGGCCCCTGTCCTGTCCCCTGTCTGCTGGCCGGATCCCTCCCTCCTCCAGGCCCGAGTCTCTGGTGCCCCCTCCAGCGTGCTGGCTGGGGTCAGTGTGGATGTACCCTGCAGGGTGCTGGCGGCTCCCGGGCCTCCACTCTGCCCGCCACCCCGTCCCTGCGCTGTCCTGGAGACACGACGGCTCCTTGTTGGAAACTCGACCTCTTGCTCGGGCAATGCCACTCTGTGCTCTGCGCCAGGCATCAGGGAATGAAACCCAATCCCGTCTTGTGCCATCATTCCCATGTGGCCGTTCAGTTCCTCGCCTGTGGCCGCGGCCCAAGGGAGCAATCAGATCTTGTGAAGGGCATAGAGATGTCCCGGGGCGGTGCAAGCCGTTTTAATCATGTGCTAATCTAATGGAAGCTCATAACATTTTGTATCACAATTAAAGAGACCGTGGGTCTGGAAGACCTCAACCTCTGGTAGGGCCTCCCCTGAATTTAAACAGAAACCTCCGACCGCGGATGCAGGGCAAAGGAGAACCTTGCCAGATGTCTCCACGACAACTGTTCCATCGGGTATCTGCAACGGACTTCTCTGCAGCTCCCGGGAAGTTCAAGTACGCAGGCTGAGTGCAGTGCCTGAAAAGGTGCACTCCGAGGGGGCAGGAGGCACCTCAGAAGCCCACGTGTTTCCGTGCCTCGAGGCACGTGGAGAGAGCCCAGGCGGGTCGCCACAGTGGCCTCTCCTTTCCCAGTGCCGCTGTCGCAGGACACAGCTCGCCCACACTTCCCACACCCGGGCTGGGCCCCACAGAGCTCAGCACTGGAGAGGCCCCGCCCACTTCGCTAACTCCTCCTTTCTGCAGAAACTGGAGACTTGGATGCCACCTGAACAGCGGTGCAGCCAAGGCTGCTTGCCCGGCGGCACTGCACTCCAGGGTCCGGTGCCTGGGGGCTGGCATTCACCCCTCGTTTCTCCTGCAGGCGATGTTCAGATCCCAGGGCCCCCCACCAATGTGCACGCCTCCGAGATCAGCAGGACCTACGTGGTCCTCAGCTGGGAGCCCCCCACGCCCCGCGGCAAGGAGCCGTTAATGTACTTCATCGAGAAGGTACTCAGCAGGGCTCACGCGGCTGCCCCGGGCTGGGCTAGGTGAGGACTGTGGTCCTCCATTGCTTACAGATGCTGGCTCTGGGCTGGGGGCAGGTGGGGCAGAGATGCCACTGCAGGGGGCATCCTGGGAGGCTGAGTTGGGCCTCACCTCTCCAGCCTCCATGTCCTCTGTGACCAGTGAGGCTGAGCATGGGCATCTGCACCTTCCATCCTGCTCTGAGGGCCACAGGTCCCTGGGAAGTGGACAGGTCACATGTTCGGGGCTTGTGCATCAGTTTCTGGCTGCTGAGTGGTGACCGTGTAGAGAGAGGAGCGGCTTGGGTGGAGTGGATGGGACCAGGGACCAAGCATTGCTGCTTGGGGCTATGCTGACCTAGACACATAAAAGAAGTACAAAGGCATTATACAGTGCAGCCCAGCACACACATGGGCACACATGTGCACACGTGTTCACATGCATGTCACAACCCAGTTTCATACATGATGACTTTACATACCTGCACCCCCCCTCCTCTAGGCTGTCCTGCTGCACTGAACATGCAGGCTGTGATGAAGGTGGTTTGGGGACGCACTGGGCTGTGGCCATCGCTGGAAGACCGTACAGTCCCACAATTACCGCAACTGCAGCTGTGTGACATTAAACTTGCAGGAAGTGCTGCACACAGCAGTGTTTCGTGTTAATGTTGGTGTGTGGTGCCGAAACAAGCTCCATGCACAGGGGCGGAAGCAGAGGGAGGTGGACTCTGTTTCACTCCGGCTGCCAGTTGCGTGCCTCCCCTGCTCAGCGCCAGGCCGGGTGACCTGGGTGGTGGCCAGAGGGCTGGGAGGAGAGGGCCACCTCACAGTTGTGAGTGGCAGCAGAAAGCTGTCACCCTGTGGAACAGACAGCCAGCACTGCCTGTGGCGGGGCTCGGGACGGTGGCGCCTTTGTTTTCAGGAGGATCCGCTGTCTCAGGCCAGGGCGTGGGGGCCTTGGCCTGCGGGGTGGTGCTGACTCAGCGGCACCATGGGACGGAGCACGGGGAGCAGCAGGGGCTCCAGACCCAGCAGCTTCGTGCTCAGAAGCGGGGTAGCTGGACGGGGTTGGGTGGGGACCCGGCCTGGACGTCTGCCAGTCACCTTTTGCACGGGGACATGTCTGCAGCCCCTTCAGCCAGCCCTGTGGAGACCCGTCCTTTCCAGCCAGCCGGGCCACAGCGGTAGTCCCCCCTCGTTCCCTGCTTAGCTCCTGAGTTTCCCTTCTCTGCTGGGGCCAGGCGTGAGGTGGTCTGAACTCCACGGCCTCGTTCAGGGCATCAGATCTGCCCATCAAAGCCCTGCCCAGGAGCTCAGAGTCAGGCATGGGTTCTCCCGGAAGCTTGGGCTGGGATCCCAAGTTTTCTCCTGAGCTTTTCACTGTCCTTAGCAGGACTGATGTGTGGCCCTGTTTTACCACCACAGAATTATTTTTAAAGAGGGGTTTTATCTCTGTAGGAAAAAAATCATTGTGGGGTCAGAGTGGTTATCAAGGACAAAATAAACTTGCAGCACAGGCTATTTGGAGAAACAGAGAAGTTGCATAGAAGAAAGCTGAAATCACCAATAACTCCATTATGTAAATAGCAACTATTAGCACAGGGCACCGGTATTTGTAGTCTTTTCCTCCGCAGGGCTTTATGTACTTAGTACATTATACATACAGTTGGCACTGTGCTATTTGTAATAAAATGACACAATCCTCATCAGATTAGAGAGCTTTGCCCACTAATTTAAGAAGCCACCTGTTTTTAACACATGAGCACATGGCCCTGTGTCTCTTGGCAAGGCCTAGGTGATGTCACTTCATCAAAACCCAGTAGCAGCAGTGTGCCACGAATTCCAGCTGAAATATAAACCATTAAATGATGGAAGTTTACAAATTTTCTGTTACATTATCTTTACGTATGGCCACTCCCTTTTAGGAAAGCTGCAACCAATATATTGATTTGTTTAAGTTTCTATAGTTTATTACATCCATGGAAAATGTATACCAGTAAAATTTCCAATCTGGGGTAATTTCTTGCCTGCATCTCCAAATTGGCATCAGTTTGGAAATCCTGGACTGCTGTCCCTGGAAGATGCTCGGGGTGTCTCACGAATATCCCACCTTGTGCCCCCGTCTCACTGCCCTCTGCTCCGCAGTCCGTGGTTGGCAGTGGCACCTGGCAGCGTGTCAACGCACAGACAGCCGTGAGGTCCCCACGCTACGCCGTCTTTGACCTCGCGGATGGGAAGTCGTACGTGTTCCGGGTGCTGTCAGCCAACAAGCATGGCCTGAGCGAGCCGTCGGAGATCACGTCTCCCATCCAGGCGCAGGACAGCATTGGTGAGTGGCGGTGTGCGTGGCCTGCACACCTGGCGTCCTGTGTGGCTGGCAGCGGGCCTAACGTGTTGTTCCACAGCTCTTGCCATGTTGCTTAGGTTCTTGACATTTCACCAAAGCTCCATCTTTTGTGAAACCAGGAAATGGGTGAGGAAGGGAGTTCAGGGGCCAGGTCAGGGTTTACAAACCCAGCCCCGATGTCCACAGTTCCTCGCCCACCTGGCTGGAAGGTCCCTCTTGGAGGGTCTCAAATATGAATCACAGAAATCCTCACGTGCAGGGGCTCCCGAGGCCCTGACGCCTTTGGGTGAGAGTTTTGGGGTCAGGAGCCCTTCTGGGGTGGCCAGTGGTTCTCTCCCCCATCTTTGGTACCATACCTAATGAGGAAGCAGATGTCGGGATGAGCCGAGGTGAGGCAGCCAGCACAGCCCCAGGTCCCTTGGGTCTCAGGTTCTGCCTAATGGAAGTTCTGAAAAGTCCTGGCCAGAGCCACAGGCTCCACACACTGTCTCCCAGCCAGGCCCGATCTCTGCTCGCTGACTGGCACCCGCACAAGTTGCTGGCATGCTTTCCCCTTAGGGCCCAGCCATGCACGCCCTGCTCTCTCCTCTGAATTTCACCCAGGCCTCATACCCCGCCTGACCTCTTCCCCATGGCCCTGCAGTGGTCCCTTCTGCGCCCGGCCGCGTGGTGGCCTCCCGGAACACCAAGACGTCTGTGGTTGTGCAGTGGGACCGGCCGAAGCAGGAGGAGGACCTGTTGGGCTACTACGTGGACTGCTGTGTGGCTGGCACCAACCAGTGGGAGCCCTGCAACCACAAGCCCATCGGATACAACAGGTGCCTGCCCTGCTGCCTGGGCCCGTGGACTGAGTGAGGCGGAGGCAGAGCGCAGGGCCCTGTGCAGCTCCCAAGCTGGGTAGATGGTGCCAGAACCTGCCCCGGGCATCCCATGGATGGTCTGCTTGCTCAGTCGTCCCTAAGGCTGCTGGCCTGTGCTGCGGCAATATGCCTACTGATGTCAGGAGAGTTCCACAGCCTGCATGATCTGTGTCATTGGTACAAGGACTTCTCTGTGAGTAGGAGAGTTAAAAATGTAAGAATGAAGCAAAAGCAGTTATATTTTTCCATGCTGATCTTTTGAACTTTTTTCTACTTTTAAAATTATTATTTTAGTTGTATGAGTGTATGGGGTTTGGTGTAGTTTGACCCATGCACATAATGTGCAAGGACAGCTGACACTGCCATGTCCTTAAACATTTAAAGGACGTTGCTTAGTGCAACAATCACACAGGCCTGTAGGGCTCCAGGTGGCCCCACAGCTCCACACTGCTGTGCTCATACTTGGGGGCCAGTGCTCCATCCCCAGTCACACAGAGTCAGGTCACCAGCAAGGAGAGCCTGAGTCCTGTGCAGGGAAAGTGAGAGTTTCTGCTTCTGGACTTGACCCTCCCTGCATGGGCTGGGGATGCAGACCTCCAGGTTCCACCTATTCTAGGCATCCTGGGAAAGCACAGGTGTCTTGGTTACTTTTCTCTCCTTGCTGAGACAAAATACTCAGTGCCCAAAATTAAGGAGGAAAGGTTTATTTAGCTCAGGGCTTGTGGCGTTTTCAGTCATGAATCAGCTGGCTGCAAGGCAGGGTGACCTGACTCAGGGGTAACACTTCACGGCAGCAGAAGACAGCAAAAGCATCAAGAGCAGAAGAGCAGAAGTAGAGAAGAGCAAGCTTCTTTTCCTCCCTTATATTGTATGCAGGATACCTACCCCTCCAGGGGGTGTAGCACCCACACCATCTCCAAACTTCTCAAATTGACACAATCAATCAACCATAACAATATCCTGAAGTGTAAACTGCAGCTCAAGGGCATGTTCTCTACACCCTAGGATATGGAACTGCTGAGTTACTTAGTTAGGCTTGTAAACTTCTCAAATTGACACAATGTGTCAGCCATTACAACAGGTGAGAGAGAAGGGGATGGATAGAGGAGGATAACAACAGTCCTCCAGTAGTCCACGACCACCAGCAAAGGCAGGAGGACCTTAGCGTATGGAGTCTGACATCATTCCTGTGCAGGGATCTTGCAAGCGATTCACAAACGTTTGCTGAGGGCGTAGGATAAACAATGCCCACTTGGCTTTACTGAGCCCTTACCATGAGCAAGGCGGAGGGCTAAGTCCCCCGCCCATTTCCTACTTATCGGTCAGAGTTATGCTGTGAAGCCAGTCTCCTTATCCCTGTTCTGTAGGAGGGGATGCCAGAGTTTAGGCTCAGGACACGAGACTGAGGGTGCAGAGTCTGGTGTCAAAGCCTGTGCTCCAGCCTCCTCTACCTGACTTCCAGGTCTTGGGCTTTGCTGTCTGAGGTGCAATTTGTTCTCATTCTGTAGTAGGTGTAGTGATTCCTGCAGGTAAGGAGGTGGACGACCCTTCATAGACCTTTGCTCTGGACTTGACCCACGAGCCTCAGAATAAGTGCTGTGACACTTAGTGTGAGTGTCACTGGGCATTGACGTCTTGTATCCCTGACTGGTGAATTTGTGACCTGACATTGAAAGAGAAGGATGTGTGTGAGGTATGCTCACAGCACTGAAAACAAGGTTGGTTTCAGTCCAAGCGAGAGCAGAGCCCTCAGAGTGATTTCTTCTGCTGCAGGGAAAACTCGCCACGAGAAAAATGCCCTGATGCCAGTTTGTGTTTCCTCAGGTTTGTGGTGCACGGCTTGACCACCGGCGAGCAGTACACCTTCCGGGTCAAAGCGGTCAACGCCGTGGGCACCAGCGAGAACTCACAGGAGTCTGATGTCATCAAGGTGCAGGCGGCCCTGAGTACGTACCGTACGGCTGCTCTGCCCCAGCTTCTCTTCCGGGACACAGGGATTGCTGCCCGGGTGGACATGTGCGATGCCATTTTGGACATGGTGGAGGAAAAGGTGTGGAGGTTGCTGAACAGAGCTCATGCAGTTCTGCCGAAACCCCGCATCCCCTGGCTGCTCGTCATCTTGGAAATGCCTGTTTCTGGGGGAAGCGATGGTACACTCACAAAGCACAGATTAGAAACGGGAGCGTCAACACAGGTGGCATTCGTTTCTGAGTGCTCCACTTCCATGAGCATCTGCGCTCCTGGCATGACTTCCCCTTTCCAAAGTGCGTTGTCAAGCATGTCAGTGGCCCGCCAGCCATTCAGAGCTCAGGGAACTTTCATCACTGGATGTCACGTGCTTCTGCCGCTTGATGGCCTCATGCGTGAGCGGTCAGATTTAAAATGCTCGTTTTTTTAATCTAACAGGAGGATTTGGATCCAAGGTCTGGATGCAGTCCCTAGGAGAGCTGACCAGTGTTTCATGATTCTTAGCAAATACACGTGTGCTGAGCACCACCAGGAGCATCTCACACACAACAGTCACACCCTACACACTTCAGCACAGCGCTGCCTCTGAGTTTCACAATGAAGCGCTGAGCTCTCTCCATCTGTTCAAACCTGAGGTTTCCCTCCCCACAGCGCTGTCCGGGATCCTGGCAGGTCAGGCCTGGTAATGCGCAGTGGATCAGCTGTGCCCTCCTGAGGTCCCGATGCTGATGTCCTCTCTGCTCCCCCGGGAGTGGCTTCCAAGCCTCCTCACCGACCCCTCCCACTGCTCCCACTGAGTGAAAGCCAAGGCTTGGGTTGAGTGTGCCCTGAGAACCCCTCATTCCAGCTCATCCGTCCCATAACAGAGGATGTCGGGCCGGGCTCCTCCGCGTGGGAGAGCAGCGGCGCCCTCGTTCTCTGCTGGCTAGGAAAGCCGAGCAGGGAGAGAGGCACCCACGCTGTGCTGTGCTAACAAGCAGGAAACGCCAGCGTCCTGGAACGGTGCTCCTCCTCCCCCGTGGGCAGGCAGGCGACGGGTCCTTGCATCGTTCTCCCCGAGGGCCTGCGGTCTGTGCTGTCTCGATGCACACACCCGAGCCCGCCTGCCTTTGGGCCGTGGGAGAACACGCTGAGAAGGCAGTGGGTGTGCGTGGGCAGCCAGGGTCAACGGCAGTGCGGGAGGAGCAGGGCAAGTGCCCCAGGACGTCTCCGGGGCCTCCCCTCTGCTCCCCGCTGGCAAGGTGAGGGGTGCTGGACGGGCCCGCGTGACCCTCCTGCTGTGTGTGCCCTGCAGCCGTCCCGTCCCATCCGTACGGGATCACGCTTCTGAACTGTGACGGCCACTCCATGACCCTGGGCTGGAAGGTGCCGCGGTTCAGCGGTGGGGCGCCCATCCTGGGGTACTACGTGGACAAGCGTGAGGCACAGCACCGGCACTGGCATGAGGTCAACGCCTCGCCGCTGCAGGACAGGCTCCTGACGGTGAGTCCCTGCCTGCGCCCCTCTCGTGGCCGGAGTTCAGTGAGGTTGGTGAGGGCACAGGGCAGCGTGCCCACGTCAGGCTGCCAGGGCCAAGCTGGGGCTCCTGCGGGTGCCAGGGCCGGAGCCAGCTCCTCCCCAGCTCTGCTCTTCTGTGCGCCTGTGGGTGTCGGCAGCAGGCCTCGGTTTCCCTGCCCCCCGGAGCGTGGCCTTGTCCTCCAGGACATCCATGGGCAGCGTGGGGGGATGTGGGTATCCTGGCTGGAACCCGCCAGGCTGCAGAAAGGGGGTTCTCTGGGGGGTCCAGTCAGTCGCCTGCAAGGCCCCTCTATGTGTGGCACTTCCTGGACCACCCTGTACACCTCCTGATTCCCCGATCCACACAGGTGGAGGGCTTGACAGAAGGCTCCCTGTATGAGTTCAAAATCACTGCCACCAACCTGGCAGGAATTGGGCAGCCCTCGGACCCCAGTGAGCTCTTCAAGTGCGAGGCCTGGACGGCACCCGAGCCTGGTGAGATGCTTCTGTCCCAGACACGTGGCCTCCATGTGGGGTGGACGGGCTGCACAGGGCAGGGAGCAGGGCTCTGGGGCCTGGGCATCGCTGCCTCTCATAGTTGGCAGACTTTTGTACAAGTCAAACAGAAACTCAGGGTGCCAGTACAGTTTGTGGGGACACAGCAGCAGCAGGTGGACAAAGATGTGCCAGAAGGGATGGCAGCATGCAGCACTGCCCTGTGTGGGCGATGTCCAGCTGCGCTGCCTCTAGGATGTGGCCGGGCAGAGAGAGCTCAGGGTGGAGTTGGGTCCTAGAGGAGGAACCAGGTGCCTGACGGTCCAGGCCGTCCAGCGTGAAGGTCCCCATGGCTCATCAGCCACAGGGATTCTTGGGCCGTGTGTGACCGGCCACTTGTAACCCTGGAGTCCGCTCAGAAGCAGAGCCCTTGCAGGCCCGCGTTTATTCAGGACTCTGTTTAAACTCTTTTCACAAATTCTCAAGGACTGGGCATCAGTTTCTTTGTGCTCAACCCATCAGGAACCAAATGCATCCTACCACGCTCATACTCCAAAGGAAAAATACTAAAATTTGAAGCCAAGAAAACGGATTCAGACTGTTGTGCAGATAGTGTGACTTTCTCCCCTCCCTTTCCCTCTCCTCTCCCCTTCCTTCTCCTTCCCTCTCCTCCCCTCTCCTGTCCTCTCCTGTCCTCTCCTGTCCTGTCCTGTCCTGTCCTCTCCCCTCCCCTCCTCTCC